TTCCTTTGTCGGTGTGTTTTCGTGCTCGCTTTAATTTTTAACAAGTCACCCTCGGTCCGTTTGAGGAAAGCAGCAGGGATTGGGTAAAGAGAGCAGAATCCAATTCTCTCTCTCGGCGGGGAGGGTTGCTTTTCGAGCAAGATGGAGAGCGCCACGGGCGAGGGATTAATTACCGGCTGCGTGTATCGTGTGTGTGCGTTCCGCAAACACCAGGAGACTGTCCGGCAGGTCGACCGAATTGCGCGTGCATGTCACGTAGGGCACGCATGGTGAGGGTGGCAAAAAGAGAGGCCAAACAGAAATATGATCTGCGCGTGTTTGAATGGCGTGCTCATTGCCACGTCCTGGGAATAATGGACTCGCCGGGATAATGTGAAAGATCGGACCTTTGCTGACCCTCCAAATTAAATTATTTCGGCCGGCGTGTTTGCCGACGCCAGTCTCGGCCAATCGCCAACTTTCGTTTAAGTTGGTGAATTAATACATCATGGGGTGCTTTGTTTGAACTCGGTGCGATTCGGGATTGATTGAATTCTGATATTAAGTGGTGGAGACACTGCTTTGTGATGCTCAAATTAAGCGTTGCGCCCTTACAAGAGAGGGTTCCGGACATCAAGGGCTAATGCCGTTTCCGGTAATTGGGAAATTATCAGCAGGGTTCTGGGGTACTAATGAGATAGAATTTGATAGAATTTCGCTGAAATTGCTGATGATGATGGACAATGTTTCATTCATAATATATGAAATTTAGCTTGAGTGGTTATTGTTGAGTAGATTATTTGCAAATTTTTTGCAGAAAGAGAAAATAATTAAAATCTGGCCAAAAATTACAATTGATTAATCTAGTGGTTTCTATTTCATTAAAATAATTTTACATTGCCTATTGTATTTAAAAAGAGTTTTAATTATTATAATTTTTACAAACAGTTTACTACTTATATAAGGTGCAAAAACTTTACAAAAGATCTTGCTAAAAATCACTAAAAATGTAACCTCATAAAATCTGTAAAGTGATAAGTACGTCTTCAATCAAATTGCTAATTTTTAAAATAGTAGAACTTCCTTTTTAAGTAGGTTTCAGTTAGTTTAAATCTTAAATATTGTGGGTTTTAATTGATTTTAAGAATCATTTTTTTTCAATCAGTGAATTTCAGTTTTACCACCTCTTGTTTATTCAAAGTAATTTTATTGGGTTCATGAACAGGACATGTTATTATTTTCTTCGGATTTCAAATTTCAAATACGAAATCGGTGCTCAAAAAATCTTTTTCATCATCTGCAATTATGCTAGATTGGTGTTTAATTGCGCCCTTTATTGGAATTTAACACAAATCATATTTAATTAAATTATGACATTTATATATAAAAATTAAAAAAAAAAAAAAAACACTTGTTTTCCGTGAGCAAACATTTAACGCATTTTTCTTTTCTCCTACAGGCGCGAAAGCCATTAGGAAATCTGCAATTGAATTGTAACGCGTCTCTAGGCTTATCTCCCAGCAATTAAATGAATTCAAACGTTGCTCGTTCACTTTGTGCTTTCGGTCCAGATGACTGCGAGATACGTATTTTGCTCGTCTGCAGTTCTCTCTGTGCTCGCAGGCGGATTACAACCGTTCAGCAGCATCCCTGATAAGCGCGTGCAATGAGAGAATATGTCTGTACAGACATGCATGTTCAACGTTCATTTCTGCGGATAGGTTGGCGCACAAAGTTGGTGGGCAAAGAGACCTTTTGATTCCGAGGAGCAGCGGACGTGCAGAACACGCCGATAATAATCCTTTGACTGCGAGAGCACGATGATAATTTCATGCCTCAAGAACAATTTATTATTGCCATGTACATCAAGGAAACGCCGCTCAACCGAGGACACATTCAGAGTCCGTTGTCAAGATTAATAATAATGACATCCATGACAAGTGAAGCTGCGGCATTTTAATATTATTTGAAATTATCTGATTTACATGAAGCATTTCCTTAGAAAGTATTTAAAAAAAATTAAAAAAAAATAATTGAAAACACAACGGAGACAGAAGATCGTTCCATCATTTATTAAATTTTTTGGGCAGACTAAAATGTACAAATAGTTTTTCGCTCATTAAGAGTGATTAAGAGGTTCAGTTTTTTTTTTTAACTTTAAGGATTTTTAGAGGAAACTGTTGATTGTTATGTACTTCATCTAAATTTAAATTTACTCAATTCAGTGTTTTATGTTTATCATTTTGTAGATTTAATTAGCATTTGACAAATTCTGACGCACATTATGGCATTTTTTTTAAGGAAGATATTGACTTTTGTACTAATTTAAAATGTACTAATTTAAAATTTACCACATTTTCAAAAGCAATTAGCAAATTTATTATTATAATCAAAATGACAAACAGATAACCATGAAGCTCGTAGATTTAATAGATAGTTAGTCTTTCAATACCAAATATTACGAGCAACAATAATATAATCTTTTAATAACAAGTCTTTTTGTAAAAGAGAAAAATATTTGCGTAAATACTTCAATAGGGAATTATTAACTTTTAAATAAAATCCAACTGAAATAAATATTTTTAAATTTGAAATAAAAATAATTATAAAATTGATAAATTTTAGGTTAAATAATATCAAATAAAATTTTTAATATTGTGCTTTAATTTAATATTTAATTAATTTTTGTGTATTACAATTAGGAAATACAATTAAATTTGACCATTAATGATTGTAATTTATCAAAAAAATTAATTAAGCACTTTGGTTGATAGCGAAGTATACATCAAGGGCAGTCATGGATATGCGGTCATATGGTTTGAACGCTGCCGATTATTTCGATCAAACCAGCGTGAAAAAAGTACACACACTCTCGCCACTCAAAATCCGGTTCACGTCGATTTCAACCGGCGGGCTTTTGATCGGTGGCGCACAAAGGCTGGTTTTCATAAAGCCACCCTGGCTCATTTCGGTGATTAATTCCAGTGGCTGTCGATGTACAAATTGAATGCGCTTTTTAATTAATATGAATGGTTGGAATGAAAATCAATCGAAAAATAAAACGCGGCTGCAGAAAATTTTGAATCAAAAGCCATAAGCGGTTCTCATTTTTTTCTCCTCCTTTCTTGGGAAATGAGGCAGTAAAAAAGTCTAAATTTATCACCGATAAACCAGCAAATAAAACTCAGCTGGGAAATAATTCATTCAAACGGGGGTGCTCTCTCGTCGAGCGGCAAAATATGCAAATTATGCCCGCGCTTCAGCTGTGTGTTGATGTGATCGAATACATTTGAATAAATTAGGGCTTGCGCAAACAATGCGCGAGGACACAAGAGAGCGAAACAAATTGATTTAAATCCGAAAGCTGTAAAGTGAAACGAAATAATAGTGGAACTGCCGACTGACACGAGGACGTTTTGTGAACGCACTCGAATGTTAATTACTTTGCCAAACACACGAATATATTCAAATTCAATCTGGCTCCCCGTATTCAAATTGATAAATCAGTTTCCATGTCAATTTGCTTATTTTATTTTGTCTGACAAAGCAAACCAACTATTTCAACTTAACAAATGATGAAATGTTCACAAAATTTTTTTCTGTAAAGCAAATTAATTAATTAAATAATTAAAAAGATTCACAATTTCTAGCAATTTTGGCAAAATATTAGTGATTGAATTTGAGCGAGTGTTGCGTTAATTTCGAAATTATAATTTTAATCTTAATATAATAACATAATGACTGATTAATAAGATAACTTTTTAAACGTTGATTAATTTGATTATTATCAGGACGCCTTGTCTTTTATATATTTTGTTTATTATAATAATCTGCTGCAGAAATTCAAGCCTTATGATACATAGATCATTATTAATTTTATGTTACATTAATAAATTGCTTTTAATAATTAACAATTTTTTTTTTAAATATCCGTTAATTTTTTTAAAGCATTTTTTTCCAAACTACTTAAAAATTTTGTTGCAACAGTTTGCAGGTTATAATTAAAAATATTTAACAATTCCTTCCACTGCAGATTTTTAGCATTGTGGCATTCAGAGACGATTTTCAATCATTAGTTATTTTGGCACTAACAATAAGAAATTATCAAGAAATGAAATTGATTTCGTTGCAAATAAGCGACATTCTAACTTTGTATATAATTAATTCGTCAACGAGTTCTGTGTTCGCTCACTCGCAACAGCAAAATTTCAAATTATTATTTCGGATTATTTTGCCGTGGGCAGAGTTTTCAGAAGCGATATTAAATCGTGCCGCTGTTCAGTTTAATCTCTCACAAAGACAATAGAATGAATTTTGCCATTTTCAAAACATTCATTTCGCCTCGCTCATTTCAACAAAATCATCATCCGCAACAGGACGCGCAAAACGCAAAATCCAAAAGCATTATCAGTTTTGGCGAGCGCAAATCTCGCCGGCGGCCGCCACCGGCAAAACAAAAACACCAACAGTCCTTCAAAGAAAACATTAAAATCCAAGTAATCCCACTCGGAACCCAAGGGAGTGCCGTCTGGATAAATATTGAAGAGATGTACATTTTTTTCCCGGCAAAAAGCAACAGAGTGTTGGATTAGTATTTTTTGTATTGTGTTGTTTTTCTGATAAAGCTCTCGGTGCAAAAATTCGCAATTCCACCTAGCAGATAGCGGCTTGTTATTGCGAATGGAAATATAAAAGCTCTCACCGCTGATAAATGGCAAAACATCCACGCGAATCCCTTTTTTTTCAAAAGCGCGTGCAGATGACTGCTTTTATTTAAAGTGTCGCTGCCGTGAAAGCAACAAAAAGCAAAATGTCCGGTGCTGCTGCTGCTGACGCCCGATGCAAATTAACTTTGTTATCTGCGAATAATTGGCTGAAAAGTCAAAAGCAGAGTTAATGGAAAAGTGCAATTGGCTGTTTGCAACCCTGCGAGATGAAATAACAGGCTAATTATTAAACGTGATTAGAGCGACGCTGATCGTTTTTTTACTTCGGTGAGAAAAAATTGGAAAAAATCCTACCTAGTACTCTGATGTCGACGGACCTCTGTGACGAGTAGTTCTGCTTGTTCTTCGCCAAACACATGTAGGAGCCCGAGTCCAAATTTCGCTGCACGTTTTCAATGATGAGGGAACCGTTGGTCACTTTTTGACGGATGTTGGTCGGAAGTCTCACATCATCTGCAATCAGAACCAAAAGGAAATTTTAGAGCAAATTATTTGATTTTTGCTGTTAATCTTGAAATTATAATAGTTTAATTAAGACAGTAGTGCACGTTTTTTTTTTTGTAATCCATCAACAGGAGAATAGATAAAAATTCTAATTTCGAATAAAAACACTTTGTACAAAATTTGCAATATTTAATAAATAACTGAAAATATTTTTGTTAATGCAATGTTAAATAACATTCTTTTTTAGATTTGTAGAATATTTAAGGACAAGTACAATAGATATAAAGCAGACAAAGCTGTGATGCTAAAGGAATCATTGTTTAATCATCTTTAATAATGTATTCATAAGCCACGTAGAAGTTATATTTTTATTGTCTTTATTGCTACCTTTAATTTTATTAACAACTTAAATCTGAATATTATAGCTATAATAATGGAAAGATTGGAAATGAATTTAAAATATATATATTAATTTATAATTTAAAAAAATTAACAATAAAAGGAAAAATTCCATAAATGTGCAAAAATACCAAGCATGATTTATTTTCTTGCTTAAATTATTAAATTTTAATTTAATTTTTTTTAAAAAAATCTTCATTATTTTTAGCCTGAACTCATCTTGTCCAGTGCTAAGTAAATTTAAATTCTGATTCGTAAGTCAGTTGGAAAACCGATGAAACCCACTCTGGTGTATGTAGTGAAATGAAGCATAAATAAATCTGGGCAGGCGATACACCTTGGCGACAGCATTTGCAAGCGAGCGACCTCAACCGTGCCATGGGTCGAGCGCCGCGTGCAAATCGCCTGAAATAAACAAACCGCTGCCCTGGAAATGCCCCTCACGTCGCATCTGATGCACCGAGGTGAATTTGCATTTGCGTGACGTGTTGCATAACACACAGCAGGGCTGCGCCGAGCTAAATAACCAACTGGTGCCCTCGGTGCAGTTTGCCGGCGAGAAGTAATGCGCGCGGCTGAAAGGGTGCACTGTGGTGTGCAACTGCAACTACTGCCGAGGGCGAAATGAAACCCGAGTTTCAGACTTTCCAGAGAGAAACGGCGATTTATTTACGACGTGCACTTTGCAGCAACAAACAAATAATGTAAATTTGCGCACGAGAACGCGTTCGTGCATGTGCGCGAATAAATACACAGAACGCAAATTTCCGACGCGAGAGCGAATTTTCTCTAGCTGGTGAGCACATTGTTCCGCGATAAGGAAACACACGCGACGTTGGTGACTTTTAAAAGAGCTCTGTGCACCTGGAGCCGATGTTTCTAGAGTTGATTTCATTACGGTTGTTTTTCAACTTTAATTTAATTATTGTTCAGTATTTTTTTAAATTCCATATTCCTTAAAATAATTAAGATTATAAATATTTACAATGAATTTTGAAGAAGCATACCAAGCTCGGAGGAAACAAAAAAAAAACAATTTTTTCAACTTCACCAGAGTTGGAAGCCTAATGATAAAATCTTAATTAAGGTATGAATCATGATATTTAGTTAAAAAAGGAATTTATAATTAAAATTTTAAGTAAAAGGGCAATGAATGTCCAAAACTCTGTATTTTCTTTGCCAAAATTTTTAGGATCTTTAGCGACTTAGAAAAAAAGTTACGAACACAAGAGTAAGTTTAAATTGTACGTAAAACATTTGGAAAGTTAAAATGTAAGTTTTGAAGTTAAGCATTTTCTGTTTATTTTCCAGTAAATTTTCAGAATTTAAAATCAATGGTTTTGGTTGGAATCATCAATGATTGTGTGAAAAAAATTGGCTGAACAACAAAAGTAATTGAATTCCTGAAAAAAAAAGTATAAAAATCTGCTGAAACCTTTTTGAAACATCATCTCATTTGTCCCTTTCCCCAACTCTATACAAAACGATTTTTTTTTAAGAATTTCAGCCTATTTTACATCCATGGATGGCTTCAAGCTGCGGTTAGGGGCGCTTTTACTGTCGTCCAGCAGGCATTTTGATGGCCAGCTTGCTTCAGCGAAGGGCCAGTGCGGCTCACTAACCTCATTAAGGGGTCCTTGGTAACTTCATTAAAGGTTCACTCTCGCTGCCTTAGGTCGTCGCTCTCACGCATTACGCTCTTCAGGCGTGCTCGATAATAAAGGCTCATCACCAGCCAGCCTTTGAATTCGCTTCTGTCGCCGACCAGATAAAATAAAACACGGCGGGTGTGATTTATTCGCGCTTTTATGAGCTATTTTCTCCATCCCGGCTGCTGGAATTATTATTGCACGGCTGCTCTAAAGCAGTTCTCTCGGCTCGCACCGCCGTAATTCCAAACTAAATCATCGGAATGGCGCGCGGGATTTGCAGCTTTTATTGTCGCGCAGCAGGCGTTTTGCTTATGCTTTTATTTATTCCGTTGTGTCTCGTTCGGTCTACCTGCATTTTATCTCTTTGTTTCAAGCTACTGCTACCAGGGGAGGAGAGAAAGGGCATCGTCACCTGTTAGAATTTCAATTTCAGATGAAAGGATGTGATAAATTGTATTGTTACACCGAAACCCTTCAGGACATATTTCAGTTCAGGTTTTCAACTTGCGTTGAAAACTGCACTACTTACAATATTCTAAAATAAAAATAAATAATTGTATGTGCAGTTCACGGCAGTGCGCGGCAGAATCCTTTTTGATTTTGAATGTTTTTGTCCGACTAAAAACCTTCCCCCCTCCTAAATTGCTTTCTGTTTTCAATATAAAGTTCTGTACTGGCTTCTAAGTCAAGAAGCCAATATTTGGGGTTATTGGAAGGCTAATATTGGAATTTTTCCCACAATTGTTGTTAAGAATTGTTTTGACTATCAAGCAATCCTGAAAATTTAGCAAATTAGAAAAATAAACAAAATTTTTATTTTTTACAATCCAATTAAGGAAGAAACGCACATGGCCAATTATAAGAAATAGATTTTTTCAACAATGGTGTTGTTGCAGTATTTTTTTAGTGCTCGAAAAAAGTTCTAGATATGGTTTTGATTTTACATTTGAATTCCCTCTCATTTTTTAAGTCCTGAATTGACCTTCGTTATTCAGAATAATATTTAACATTCTTTATGCACCTAGGAATATAATTAATTAATAAGTGTTCTTTTATAAATTATTGTTCTATATTTTTTTCATAACTTTTGTGACTAACGATTAGGATAGGACAAAAAAAATTGTTTGCTGAAAACCTTTAAAGAGAAAAACTTAAGAATTTTGGAGATTGATGGAGATATAAATAAGTTTCACCGAATTTTCTTATACGTTGGCACATTTCTGTTCAATTGAAATATGCAATATTACCAAACTAGGTCGTTAACACAGAACCAGGCTTGGTTATACCAGCATAAGACTTTCCGGAACTCCATTATGTGTCGACGATGATGAGTGTTTGTCAATTAATACCATCCACGTGCGTTGATCTATCGTGAAATTTGCATGTCGGCCGGCACGCAAAACGCCCCAATAATTCAAATGCGCCACTCAGAAAGCATTAGTTTGATTAGCACTGTATAATAACTACAGAGTGTATGCCCGTGATTGAGGCCGCAAATTGCTCTGTCGGACGCACAGAGAGTCCGGCGTGTGTGTGCCCTGCATAGTTATTAATTATGAGCATATCGATTGTGCCTGCGAAGCTCGAGCAAAGCCAATAAGCCGCTGCATTCTACTTCTGCAAACAGCCGTGCCGAGGCCCACATACGAACCAACAGTTAATTACGCCCAGGCTAATTACCGACCGCGCTAATTACTTGAGAGGGCCACAACTCCTCTTGGGCCAGATATTGAGCAATTCCGCGAATTTCGAATGCTTCCAAAATGGCCGCAGTAATTTCTGACGTGGCCAAGAGCAATTGCAAAATTTCAAAACTCGATTTACACTTACACAAGGTAAACTAAATTTTATATTTCAGCATTTTACGCGATTTTAAATAGCTTTCAGATCTTTTTTTTTAAAGATTTCATTGTTTTAGACACTTCAAAATTTATTTTAAAATGAATTTCACCAAAGTTTTCGGGAAATCTTTCATCACGGTTGCCCCTTCAACGAGTTTGTTAATCACTTGCTTAATTAGTTAAAAACAAAACACCCTCAATTAGCAAAAGTTTTAGGCATTAATTGACTGCGAAACCCCGCCGTTTTAATTATTGAAAAACCTCTTTGCTCAAGATCAATTTACGAGAGATTCGGAGAAAGTTGCTTGTCTGCGACCACAGGGGTGGAAAAACAATAAAATGCACTTGCAAGACGAGGGGAGGAACGAATTAGTTAAATCTCACCGAAAGCACCCTCTCGAGCCCATTAAAAAGTATGCACTCTGCAAAAAGAGATTTCAGGGCGCTGATGAGGATAATTTGGCCACCATTAAGGGATAATCTCAAGCGATCTGGAGTCTCTTTTTCGTCCGCATGACAATCACTCTCCACCGTTTAAAACCACAATGGTGGCACGGAAAAGTTTTAATGCGTCTTAATTGCATAATGAACCGAGAGCAATCTCTTTTAATTGATCTTGGGAATTGACTGACATAATTAAATTCGGCTATCACAAAGAAAAAAATCAATTAATTATCATTAATAAATTAATCCATATTTAGTTACGAAAAAATTTATTGGATTGGTGTACCTCGTGGCAATCTCTGCCCAAATCATAAAAATATTAAAAATTATACTTAAGAAAGTTGAAAGTTTAAAATTTATTTAGTACAATGGGTTAAATAGAGATTTATTTCTTCTTCTGAATTCATCAATTTCACCAGAAAATATTTAACAATATAAACATTATTAAGTCAAATATTTAATAATTTAAGTGGAGCAAAATTGACGGACATTTTAAATCTTTTCTAATGAAAAAAAAAGAGTACAGATAATTGATCAAATGATATTTATAACGTTCAGTAAAGAATAATTTAAAACACATTTCATATGAATTATTTGGCAATTTTTCAGTATTCGCTGAGAGAAATTAATCAAAGTGACTCGTGATATTTTCCAAAGTGTTGTCCCTGCATTCCTGACGAGATGCGAGGCGACAAGCAACGAATCCAGAGAGGACAAAAAGCGCGGTCTGCTGCTATTCGATGGCGACGACGACTTTGTTCCGAAAGAGGTTATTCATTGTTGTGTCGGTGCGAACGGAAGGAAGGAAGGGGGTAAAAAATTGCTCCAGTCTCGAATGACACAATGAGTCGCGGGCGAGAGAAGAAGAAGACGGAGAAGCGATGACAGTTTCACTTTGGCTCTTCATTGCCTGTGAATAATACAAATAGCGACGTCGTCGAGACGAGAGCGGGCGGAAATCTCTGTGGTGACGTGACGACGTCGAAGCTTTTTGCCCTGGCGGCGCCAGCCTAGATCGGACGCAGCGTTTGCATTTTGTTTCAATTGGCCAAGTGAGATTGTCAGCAGGGAGCAAAATATCAGCTCTTTGCTCTTTTTAACTGGTGTATTGGTCTAAACTTAATTCGTTTAGTCACATGATTAAATATCAAAAAATTAGTCAACAAGTTGCAATAATTATGCACTTGTAAAAACATAATTATAATAATTATAAATTACTTGAATATAAATATTTTTTAATATTGTTATTCTTCATAATTTCCGCATTTATTTATTTATATTTAAAAAATATTAAATAATTTACAGCATGAAATTTATTTAAATTTTATTTTTATTTTATTAATTTTTATTTTTAAACTTCAATAAATAAGGTATTCAAATTGGAGTTCTTATTTATTTAAATTGAACATATTTATCTTTGTTCAATGCATTCTGTAGGGTACATCACGTAATATTAGTGAAAACTAAAAGTTCGTAATACGCTTAAAATAGAAAATACGCTGTTAACTTCACTTAAATTATCAGGTTGATGAAATATTTAAATATAAATTGCAATAATAATGATTGTAAACTGAACTACAAAAATGATTTCATTAAAAATGACTTTTCGTTTAATATTTTATGTGATATTTTTTTTGCTTTAACAATTGGAATCTTTGCTAGTGGCGCTACCTTTTTCATAACAAGTCAATGTTTCCCTATTCACTAAAAATTATTTTCTTCAATGCTTATACTTTGGCATTTGAACCAACAAACAAAAACAATTAATGAATAATTCCTGTGCTCAATGTGTCTCAAATGAGAGCTGCTGCCATTATTTACGAGCGGTGATGTTTTTTTATTGCTTAATTACAGACGTCATTTATTTTTCATTTATTTCATTGTAATATTTTCTATTTCCTTTCAGTTAAAACTAAATTAAGGCAAAAGAACTTTAAAAATAAGAGATTGTTTTTGTTATATTAACTAATTCAAAGCTTATGAATTATGATAGTCGACCATAGCCAGAAAATAATGTTTTTTCTAAAATAATAAAACCAGAAAAAATATCATGATCACTGTTTTGAACTCAATTATTTTTTATATGTCCGAATATATTGAGCTCTCAGATATTCATTCACTCATCAAGCAATCCTGTAGATTTGGGTTTCTTTTTCTGTGCCGCTCTGATCTTGCAGGAGTTCAATTTGATTCAATAGAACGGCGCAGTTTAAAAGGTGTGCTCCGTCTAGCAAACTAGCTTTACAAAATTTATATGTCGCTGATTCCTTAAAGTGATAAATACTTGAATTGTCAGTTTTCAATTTCCTCAAAAACACTAATCAGCAACTGATAAATGAAACTGTTTCTGAAATTGAAACTTTTGGCTAGAAGGATTGACTTTAAAGTGAAAAGGAAGAAATTGTAGTTAGTTGCAAAAGTGAACCGAAAGCAATTTTTTCCATTGCAAACCTCAATTAATAATGTGGGCGGCGTTTTTAGTGGCACAGCTTTATAACACCACAGATTCGCGCCAAAATTAATGATCTGTCCGATTCTCGACGGTGGCAAAAATGAAACACAAGAGATTGCTTTTTCCCGCGCAAAAATAACAAACCGACCATTATTGCCACCGAGGAATGAGTTGTCGCCATCAGAAAGCAATATCTCAGATAGATTTATTATTTTCGTGTCGATACGCGCGCCCATTCGTCATTGGCACATGTCTCGAACTTTTTTCCTTTCATTCTTCTCTCTCGCGCTCGCGGAGATTTACAGTTTTCAGACGACAGATTTTCCTGCTCGGCGGTTGGGACTGTAGCTTTGGAACGGCGCGCATATTGAGCGAAGCAGATTGGAATAAATAGAAATGGGGAAAAACGACTCACCCTTTTCCCAGATGATGGTGTCTATTGGGTAGCCGGCGACCGGGCATTTTATTTCCAGGCGTTTGCCGGCGACTGCAGAAATTGATGGCATCGGTCGCACGTACGGCTGGCCTGAAACACGCAAAAACAACTTTTATTGAATCCGCCACGGCCGCACTTTCTCGCAAATAAAGGGCCCGCAGGCAACTCTCTTTTGTGGCTCCAGAGTTTGCTTCGTCCGGCAACTTGATGGCCCGGCTGAATTCAATCAGGCCTGCTTATTTACTTATTTACTACGCCATTCTGTATATATGTCACCAAATCGAAGCATAAGGAATGACAAAAAGGGGAAAAAATGGGATACAAAAATTAAAAAAAAGTATCTGGATCAGCTCCAGCTTTTGTCTGTTTCCCTATTTAAAAAAATTTGGCTACGAAAAATTTGATCTTGTAATTTTAAAGCCATGACGATTTTTTCAAGAAAATTTGTCTCAATTAGAAAAAGTCCGGTTCTTTTTCATTTGAACATATAAAAATTGACATTTTCGGAGTTTAATTCAAAATTTTTTAAACACTCTGTAATTTATGTATTTTGGTTATACAAAACTCGTACTCTCAACAATTATGAGAAAGCCCGAATTTTGTGGTATAAGTCAATTTTGCTCTTATTTCTGAATTTGGCTACACGGCTGCCATGAAATACTTCTTTTGGTCTCTACTGGTGATAAATATTTTTCAACAATTTATTTATGAATCAAGTGCTACCAAAATAAGAATAAAATTATTGATTATTAGAAAAAAAATCCTAATATAAAAGTGGAAAAATTAAATTTCTATATGTAATAAAAATTGCCACCTTTTTGGCCTTTCACAATAGAAACGGGAAGAATTAAAGTCCCCTGACCCAAATAATTGGCCTGCCTCCATTTTTCATCAATAATTATTTTCCATCTCGGTGGTTGCGATCGGGAAAAAACTGCCTTACGTCGAACGCAGCCCTTCTCTCTCTGTTTCGTCATTGGTCTTTCATTACTCTTGCTTGGCAGGCCTTGCTGGCTGCGGCCGACTTGCCGGTGCAATTAAGCCTCTTGTTGAGTATAGAAACGTGTAGCAGGAAGCAGCAGTAAGGCCGGGAAAATAATGCTCACGTTGAAAAACACACCGCACTACCATGGCTGGTCAAAAAAAGTAAGGCAGCGCGTTTTTCACGTCATTTGATGTTGATTGAAATTAATTGTCAAGGGAACACAACATTGGCTTCTTTAGATATTTCAAGACTGTAGCCCAGCAGAATGAAGTGGATGAAAGAACTGAAAGTGCTTTAAAAATGTCAATAAATATAATGAAATTGCCTTGAACACAATAATTACTTCTACAGTTTTAGATTAAAAAATATTATATTTATTATTTTTAGTTTCTTAAAATTTGCAGGATCGAGGTCAATATAAGAATGGCATTAATACCAGCTCCGACTAATTTGACCAACATGTCATTGAAAATATAGTGTTTTAGGTCTGCAAAAAATTTAGTTGCAAGATCGAGGTCAATTTAAGAATAGGATTAATTACTAGCAGCGACTATAATGAAAATAAGACCAACACGTCATTAAAAATATAGTGTTTTAGGTTATTTGCAGGATCGAGGTCAATATAAGAAAGGAATTGAATAATATTTTTACGATTAATTATACATCAATGTTCATGCAGAAAATGTATGTAATAAATACACGAAATAACGTTTGGGTGACATAAATTTATAAGAAATCAATTTTTTGCATCAAGATAAGTACTTTAAAAAAAAGAAAAATGAATATTAAATAATTTTCAGTTGAAAAATAATAAATAACATATTATTAGGATGTTTATGAATTTAAATTAAAATTTACTTAGTTGATCAAAAATAATTGTGAATTAGCGAGGGAGCAGCATTATTTGCAGCGGTTCTCAATAGGAGAACAATGAGGCCGCATTAGATCATTGCGGCCGCACTAATAACACGGCTGCAGATGTGTGTGCTGCCGGACTCTTGTCTCGTCGCATTAGCAGCGCGAATTTATGGCCAAATAACCAGTCCATAACTGGGACAACAGCGAGAGAGCAGCTGCAATTATCGGCGGCGCAGCGTAATTGGCACTTGGTGCTGCGCGCCTGCAAACCGGCGGACGAACGGACCGCGATCGCGCATTCAGAACGTATTTAGATTGCCGGCGGTGGCACCGTCATTATCAAGCTGCATCTTCGTTTGTCCTAGTTTTGCATAAATGCACGCTCGCGAGCAGCCCTTGATTTCGGGCCACAATGAGCAGTAATTGAAATTAGGGAACATTGTTGACGCCGCCCCGCCATTGTGATAATTGCTCGGCCCATGTAATCCGCTTCTGGGCTTTGTTACAGTTTAACGCAGAGTGACATCATAATGAAATTTCACTTTAGTTTTGACATTTTGTTTGTTTTGATTCTAGGTTCTGGAATGGCCAAGTGAAAGTCATGACTTTAATCAGTGGCATCAAAATTATAATTTACTGAAATTTTATCATGAAATGCCCCCCAGTTTAGTCCAAGGGTATATATTTAGAAAATTTAAATTTTATGCAAAAAAATTTGGAATTCCAATTCAAACATTGAGTATTGTGATTGGAAAAATGATATTGCAAATCTCTTTTTAACATTTTCAAAGCCACTGTTGAAAATCCCTATATTTTTCTCTAATAGTGTGACATTGTGGGCTTAAATTTTAGTGTTTAACGGAAGATCCCAGTTATAGGTTTTTTTAACAATGGTCTTTTTCGAGCGAATCCTATGTTGATTCTACTGAAGTCAACCTAAATTAAAAAATAACAAAATAATATTTATTTGTTGCCATAAAGTTAATATTCTCAAAATATTCCAGAAAGTTTCTAAATAGAAAAAATCCACGGAATGTCTTTTTTATTGAAAATTGCAACAGTAAAATAAGTTTTATTTTTATTTTAGTCTCATAATAAATATTAAATTTTCAATCAGAACTACAGAAAAAAAAGGTTTTCTGTCAGAATGATATCAATTTCAATTAAAAAATATTATTGAGCCTGAACATTTTGAAATGAGGATCTTTCCATGAAATTAGAAGACTAAAATTATGTCTCATGAAGTATCAAGTAAAAATTTACATGTTATTCAATATTATTCTTCACATAAGAAAAACGTTAGTTTTTTCTTACTGAATGACCAAAAAAGTAAAAAATCGCTGCTCAGCGCAAATCACACGAAAAAAAGCGTCCGTCAGCAGGGAGTGATGAGTATGAGCCGCGCGCTACGTCCTCCAAGGCTATTAACGAGAGTTTGATAGCACCATTAGCTGGAAATGCGCCATTGTCTGCGGTGAAATGCAGTCAATAAAAGCGGTGATATGCACGAAACAAAGAGCGGCCGCCCGCCGATGTTTAATTTGCCATGAGCACTTGACAAAGAACAAAAGAGGCGGGACGTGATCATTTGCAAAGCCGGCAGGGAGAATGAAGCTGAAGAACCCACGAGGGGTTAACGCGGAAATCAATGACACCGACCGAGCCAGATTACAAAAACCAACAATTTTTCACTCTTGTACAGACACAGACCGACACCCTTGTCGCATTTTGCTTCCTGCCTTTTCAGATGATCTTTTTTTTTTTTCATAATTAAATGATTATCATAATTTTAAGAAATTTTATCAATGGAATAATTGGGTTTTTAGAAAAATTTCAGAAGTTACTTAAAAAAAAATTACTAATGAAATCTGTGACAATCAGAATTTAGAAAATTAAAATTCTTCTTTCATGAGGATCAATAACCCTATGAAAACATTGTAAAATAAGATTTTTTATTATTTATTTCAACTTTTACTTGGGTAAGACGGAGGACGGAAAAATAAATAAATTTCGGCAAAATATCCCTCAAACCAAAATTTGCAATATTTTTAAATATAAATTAGATGTGATAGTGGAAAACCTTTTGATTTCTATGATCTTTTTTTCGTTATTTAAATACTTTCATTTAAAAAAAAATGTCAAATTATTGAGACTATTTAAATACGTGTTCTTAATTTTGAAAATTTAGGTACCTTTCAAGCACCATCAGATCCATTGAATTAATTGGCAATTCATATTTAATATCGGAAAATTGTTTCTGTGTCGCGGTCAATGCGAAATTTAGGCCGGCACAGTCGGACACACTGTCATTATCAGAGTAGTGCGGTCGGATTTGCTCTGTGGGCGACACACATTCTCCCTGACAATATCCAGCGCCGGCGGCTCAAATCAGATGACAAGCAAATGATGCAAACTCACCGTAGACGTTGAGCCTGGCCGAGTGCCTGTCGGTGCCAGCGCGGTTTTCGGCCACGCACTCGTACTCGCCGCCGTCCTCGGCGCGCACCGATGAAATGTTCACGTGGCTGATCACGTCGCCGAACACGCTCACGAACTGACCGATCATCAATCTGAAAACCAACGTGAAATACAAATGCCGTGAGACAGGCAGAAAGCACGTACCACTCAGTATGCAAATTGCGGGACGAAATAAATGTTGTGCGTTGAATAAAAGCTGAATTTTTAACGCGCAATGTTTTTGGGAAAATATTTAAAACAGAATTAATGAAGCGACCGTTGTTGATTTCACTTGCCTGGCTTTAACCCTGTGACTTGAATTAGCGGATATTACTAGAATGCACTTTTTTTAATTTTGAGGACTAAAAAATGTTGAGGAAATCTTAATATTTTTAAAGCTCTCATTGTCAGCACAATTAGGGAAGCTTTTAGCTCAGAGATATTTATGTTTCAATTGATAAAATAGGAATTTATAATTTAGAAAGAAAATGTAATGGTTTTGTATGAAAGAGAACATAACAAATTACAAACTTTTTAATAAGTTTAATTTATCCCATACAAATAATAATAAATTATAAGTAGAAAAATAAAATAGAATTTATAATATTATCTTTTAAAGTATTTCTTTTTAAAATTTTATGGTTATTAATAAATATTTTATATTAATTTACATTATTTATATCCTTGAGTCAATCTTGTATTTTTTACTGAAGAATAAACATTTCATTCATTAAATTAATTAAGTAATGTATACATGAGACTGTATTTAGAATGTAAAACAGAATGTTTATTCTGTTGTACTGATTCCTCCCTATTGCTAAGGATCAATAAGTTTTAACTTTCAATATTGAAAAAAATCATAAATTACATATAAATATTCTAAATTGATTCCTCATAATGAAAATTGGTCTTAAGTCTTATTTACGTGCTGCCATTTTAGTTTTGAAGGTAACATGGTCAAAATTCCAAAAAATGATATAAATAAATATCTTTCAGAAAAAAAATTATAGTTATTAAAGCAACACGATATCTAGAGAGAAACTAAAATATGAATAAAATTTTTTAACGATCACTGCAAATTAGAGAACTAAAAAAAAAAAATTTCTCTTCCTCATTTTCCCTACCTGTTTTATAATGTATAATTTATAGCAAAAGTTCGGCATGATTGAAACATAAAAACTAATTTGCAAAATCACAAGTGAAATCAACAGCTGGCAAATAAACTTGTCACTGAGCACATTTCAACTGCAGCCCCGCAACTTTTCCAATATCAAAAGGCTAAATTTGAATTCGTTCAGCGCGAAACGTGTAAATCAGCGCGCGGTGGAATGATTAATTGCGCTGTTTGCGTGTCGGTTGGTCGGTGGGTACGGGTCGGTTCGCTTCAACTCACCTGTCATTTCCATGAGGCAGCGGAAAGCCGTCGAGCGTCCAGGTGATTTGTGGGGTCGGATTGCCCGACGCGCTGCATTTCAGCGACACCGACGGCCCCGGTTGCAGGGTCTGCTCGATGAATCGGTACACCAGCTGCGGGTACACCTCTGAAAGCAAATCGAGTGCCATTTGCATCACACGTGCTTCATTACGCGCACATATTCACACAAGCAATTAGCTCCTGTTTTCGTTTGGTTTGGCTGCTGAGGTTTCGCGTGCCACTGGCGTTTTGCATCATTTCGCCACTGTTTGCATTGCATCGAGTGACCCCATTCCAACAATCAATTCTTGTGCAACTCTCTCAATTAGTTATCAATGGGAACAACAAAGAGCTTTTTGTGCAGGGGTTGAATTTACTTCAAAACACGATAACAATGACAGGATATTGTTAATACGTTAAAGGAATTAAGAAAAATATTAACATTGGTTTTTTTAAATAAATGATCCATAATTTTAATTACGTTTTGCTTTAAAAAGTCCCAGCCTATATTTCTAGCATTGTTCACTTTTTTCCAAAAAATTTCAATAGTTTATGTACATTCACAATAATATCTAATATATTGAATCCGCGACTAAAAACAATATGTCAAGTTAATTCCCATTTCAAGCTTCCTATTTTATAACACATTAGTTGACAAATTATTTATAACTTAAACAAAATTAGATCGTTACAAAAAATAATTTAATACTAGCTATTTAATTTTTAGTTTTCTTAATAATTTATTAATTATTATTGCAGTTTAAAAATTTAAAAATTTGTCATTATATATTAAAACTAAAGTTAAATCACGGAAGTCATTAAAAGCTCAAAATAAATAAGTATATAATAGATTATATTATAACATATATTATATTTACATGTCTTTTAATTTTGGCTATAACCAGGAAACCAGGAGCTTATGTAGATCTATGCAACATGGATTAGTTATTAATATTGTATTAAAAAGGTTATGTTTTGATTTAAAATAAACTCCCTCCAACAATTTTAAGTGTTCTTAACATAAATTTTTCAGATCATCAAGTGGACTGCAGAAATCTAGATTTTCTTCCATTAAATAAATTGTTTTGGTTTCAACGTCTGCAATTTTTGACAGGCGCTTCTAAATATTATTATTTCCCGAATTTCCCGTTTGTTTCATTTTAGGAAGCCCATATTTATTTATTCAAATTCAGCATCTAAATTATATGAACGGGATTTGCTCAATGTTCAGTAGTTAATCCTAAAGATAGAAGCAACGACGGTCAACAAGTAATCAATTCAAAAGTTACATCAGAGCAAACATTAACAATTTAAAAAAAATTTCCAACTATAGAAAATCCTATCTAGCGCAAAAAACAAAAAATGCTTTACTGTATGGAAAAAACTGGACCCTCATTTCACTTTTTATTTTAAATTTATTATTGGCCCTTCAAACTGACGATAACTATTTAAAAATGTCAAAATGCATTTTTACCACAACGAATTATGTTCATAGAAACAAATAATGTAATTACGCAATTTCCGAATAGCTAAAATTTTGTAAATAATGAAATTATTATTATTTTTTTTTTTTGTTAATTTGAATGGAATCCTCGTAACTACAGAACTAACTGTAACAATACAAGCTGCAACCCGCTGGGTACAGCTGAAGAGCAGGGTGCCTATTGCGTAAACGAGACGCTATAGTTGGAGCCCAATCAGCGAGAGAGAGAGAGAGAGAACAAGCGGTGGGTGTCAAGTAGCTGGTTGGCTTCAAAAGTTAGCTGACACAAGTGCAAAGTTGGCATTGCGCACGTGTGTGTGTGAGTGAGTTGAAAGAAAACGCTTTTGACACCGGCGTGAAAGGCTTGCCGTGCTCGCGGGGAAACGTCAGGCGCAACAGGAGCGCAGAACAAGCAGGACAAATTCAAAGGACGATCTTGTGTGAATGCGGCGGCGGCGGCACCACCGCATTGTCAACATTTTAAAACACCTTGGCTGCCTGCTAATTGCACCGTCGCCACCGAATGCGGCGACGATCTTTTGTGCGCGCCTAATTGTCGCGCCGCCGCGAATTTGCGTGTTGCGCCGAGAAAGAGAGACACGCCGAGCAAAACATCATCCCTCATCTTGATTACACGCACCTGAATTGCGTTCTTCTTTCTCTCCCTTCAACACCACCCGCTGTTTGTCAAAAGGGGTATTGCCCGTGTTTAATGAGGTTGTGACAGCGGGCGGCTTTTAACGAGCAAATTTTCTTCCGTCGTCATTATTTACATTTGCTAGTGCTTTTAAAAAGCGAAATAAGGGAAATTACCCACATACAATTTTACGTCCCTCTGCGAATTTTTACCATATATTGAAGTTAATTAAATACGATGAACCAAAAGATCTTCTCGGAAGCTTCTGTGGCCATGGTAAAAATTACTTTTGAAAGTTAGCCATTTTCAGTATTTCTATTGCTTGTATAGAAACGAAAACGAGACACAGAGTTAGTTAGGGAGATGATTGCAAAAATTTTGTTGAATACTTCATATAATAGCAATAGTTTGTAGTCACTTCCAACAATATATGAAAACATAAAAGCGAGATCATTTGGGAAAACTGAGTTTCTATCATTGCTCTATATGGGATCTTCGGGATCTTCTATAGGTCTGCCTGATTAATATTCTTTAAAAACTACGAAACCAAGATAACGAAAAACATAAAATCTCAACATTTACATTGAGATTATGAGAACTTTTTCAGATATCATTATTTCTCAGTGACTAAGGTCGATTCCACAAGGTACTTGTTTGTGAAATTTTGAGATCTCAAAGTGATCTAATTATGTAATTGAAGAATGGAAAATAATAATAATAATAATTATCCTGGTGGAAAAATATTCCAGCTCTACAAATGCTTTGGCCGAATGCAGAAAATTTAAAAAAATTATAATTAATCTATAAAAAAAGTTGACAAATAAAAGTCTCGTGTTTTAAAAGACTAAATGAAATTTAAAATTAATGTTTTGCTTTTTAAGCGAGAGACGCATGTCCGTGTCTGTTTTATATGAATTTAAAAGCCACTATTAAACTCTTTCACTCCTGTCAAATGCATCATAAATTTAATTTGCAGAGAAAAGTTTGAGTGCGTGTTTGTACCTCCGAGCCGTAGTTCCACCGATCCCTGAGCCATGTCGTGTTCGCTCCGCACCACGCACTGGTACATGCCGCGGTCCTCTTTCGAGACGGCGCCCAGGTGCAGCCGGTCGGCGCTGGCGAGCCGCACCCTGGAACTAATTCGCAGTGGCTGGCCGTCCTTCAACCAGATCGGCGTGCCGTGGGGAAATCCGCTGATCACACAAGAAATTTCCGCACTCCGGCCGAGATCGACGGTCAGTCTGCTGTAAAAGAACAGGTGTTGCGTGCGGTGAATGAGATGTCTCGAGAAATCGAGGAAAGGTTTCAAAATATAATCGCAAACTGTTAAAGGAATATTTATATAGATTAAATCTTAAATTGTATTGAATATTATATTATTTAAGATTTAAAAATAAAAATTATGTAAATAATTGCAGATTTTTGTTTTGCCAAAACATGAATAATTTTTTAGCACAAAATTATCCAATTTTCAATTCTTCTTCCATGAAATGCCATTTTAATAGAAAATTAACGTGTTTTCCACTCTATTGTTTAGTTAGATAATAATATCCTTTTGCCAGCATGAATTTCACTTTCAGTAAAAATTATTGAAATTTAAAATACACCAAATTTAAAAATCAATTATTCAATATCTATGAAAGGGACGAAAAGGTTTGATTGAATTTTATATCTAAACCGTTTCCACAAATAAAGTAAACGAAAGTGTTTTTCTTTTACATCAGTTTTCTTTTGAACAATCAAACTTTGCTTTTAGTGCGGCGAGTTCGATTGCAGAGGATTACATGGAGTACACGTTAATTGCCGGAGAGGCTCTGGGTTAAATATTAATCACGGTGTAATGGCCAAGTTCGGCTGCCGCAGATTGCGAGATCGAAGTTGTTTCTGACCTGTTGGGCTGCATGGTGACCGCGAGAGGCGCGTTCACGGCCAGTTTGACCTCCATCACCTCGCTACCCTGTGAATTACTCGCGTTGCAAAAGTACGACCCTGCGTCCGATTGCTTGACGTTCGGGATGACAAGGGTTCCCTCCCGCACCAGCATGCGCCCGGACCCGTCGATGTTGGCCTGCTGGTTTTGACCTGTCCGATGAAACCACCTGAAACACACAATAAGTCATCAATTAAAAATCAATCATATTGTAGTAAAATTTATTTATTTATTTAGTAATTTTTCTAGAACTGGCCAGAATGATACTTGAAAAATATCTTGTTTTTATTATAAACGAGGTTCGCCCGGTTTCAATCTTTTATTATAAAACTGGTATCAATTTTAGTTTGATGCTGGACGTTCTAGAAAAACTTCTGCCTCTCAATAATTGAATATTTAATTTTTTTAAATGCTATTAAACGATCGATGGCAAAAAAAATCACTAATAGTTCAGATAATTGAACCCTGTTTTAAAATATTAATGAATTTTTGTTTACTTTTAAGCCAAAAATAGTCATCTTCAATCAAGTTAGCATTTTTATTATATTTATATATTTTGTGGCTTACAATTAAACTTAATGCTTTGTGCATATTTTATTTTTATTCAGACTGAAATTGAGAATATTTTAGTAATAGATAATCATGAATAAGTTGAAATTGTGATGAAAAATGAAACTCTTTTAAAAATGCAAGGGAGCCGAATGATTTAGCTTATAAAGCTACCACAAGGCTAACTTGAGTGTCACTTTCAATAAAATAGTCGGAGAAAGTTTGCCTCACAAGCAGCTTGCAAAGTTCTCCATCGCAAACATTCATTTTCTTTTTCATCTGCTTCGTAAATCGGTAAAAGTGCAGACATTTCTTTTTGTATTCCGATCGAAGCCCCGCCGGTGCAGGAAAATATAATTTGATCTCGAGCAAACAATATACATCGCGCGTTATTGACTGAACTCTTTCAAGTGCAATATCAAACTTCTGATTGGCGGCTGCTGCAAATTGAAAAAGAAAACAAGGAAGAAAACTAATAAAATCATGCAGGCAATCAGTACACACAGGAATGTTTTCGGGTTGATCGAATTGGACAAAGATAGAAAACAACGTCCAGTCTAATCCACTTGAGATCCGCCACGAGAAAAAGATGATCTGGCCGTAGCTGAATCATCACTCGCCGGTGGAGAAGAGAAATTGCTGCTGGCAAGCACGAGATATAAAGCTTTCAACAACTAGATCCCTGAGTCGTCTAATTCGATATCGCCATCAGGTATAGTACGGACGGGCCGTGCAGCTAAGTCAGCGAATCGAGACCAATTTGAGGACAAGGGGATGTCGGAAGAAAAGAAAAACCTTACAGGAAGTAAAAAAGAGAAATAAATAGGTAAATTATGAAAATATAATAAAGTTTTATTATTATTTTTTTCTTCCTACCCACATTATGAAAAAAAAATATATAATAGTTGATTTTTACTTCTCTTTTCTGCAAGGTTTAACTGAATTGAATTAATTTATTGACCAGATTAGATGTAAAAAAATTCAAAAGGTATTTCTTAAACAGGAGGTTTTGCTTATGTAAATTTTACCGATTAAAGTCTGAAAAAATACAACATTGCATAGGAAAATTAAAAAGTAACAATTAATTTCAGTTTTGAAAACTTATTAATGAAAAAGCCAACGGTTTTGGAAAATCGAAGTTCTTTTTCTGCATGTTTATTGCAAAAAATTTAAAATTTAAAAAAAATGGTAATAAAATTATGAATGTCTAAATTAATAAATAAATATATTTTTAAATGGGTGTATGGATTTTTGTGAAGATTCAGGGTATTTTGGGCATTCGCAAATTGTCATCGGATCAGAGTTTTAATCCCTGATCCCCACTAGTGGCAGACGTCATAGGGCAGTCGGAGAGCGTCCAGTGCAATTGAGCCACGTTTAATAACTCGCGTCTCTGCGGCGGCTTCGCAATAAAAATCACATTCTACCATGCCGGGTGCAGCTCGGGCTTCTCTTTTGTAGTCGATTTGTACTCGAGACAGAATCACGCTGAGGCGAAATCGAGAAAAAAGAAACTGGTCCGTTTTGTTGCCGGCGGACGCTGCTTCGTACGTGATATCGAAAAGTGCTCCATTGTATTCCGCCAGCATTTTTCCTCTCCCACAGCTGCAAAAAGCGTATCTTTGTGCCCGACAAAACTCACAAGGAATAAGAAATAAGCTCGCGCGCATTATGGCCGGCTTTTTTATCAGATTATGTTTATTGCAGAGAAACACGGCCTCTTCTATATTTACAGGGAAAGATTGCAACTGATTTGCCGCTCCGCTCCAAGTAGCCGCCGGCAGCTCTAATGAAATTCTAACTTGAAAGCTGCTTTAAGCTGCAGGCAGACATTTGAAATTTAAATCGGCCTCCCCGGGCCTTGCAGGAAGTAAATGAAATTGGGGAAATTGGATAGCGCAGTGTGGAAGGAAGGCAGGTAAAGAAGGAGGAACGTGCAAAAGCTAGAAGTTGTACATCAAAGGGCTCAACTTTCCCGACGCAGCCTAGAGACTGAAGATAAATCCTCAGATTAATTTCGTGGAAAACAAATAAGGCAGAAAATTATTTCGTGCTATGTAATTACGTAAGAATGTAATTATAATTTATTGAACAGTAATATTGATGATAAATTACTTGATAAAGACACAAAGACAGAAAAACTGACCTGCAAAAAAGAGTAGAGAAAATGCTCAAATAAACAGGACTTTCACATTTTCCCTTCTTCCTTCAAATTCTCTAATAATTATTATTCTATTTTAGGAAGAAAAAAAGATTAAAAATTAACTGGAAATCATTGCAAGCTATGAAACTGAGAAAAATTAAATTTTTTTAAAACATTCTTTTGATTTTTAAATTTTCCACTTTTATACTCACAAAACTGATGTCAGGTCAATCTAGCCTTCCAATCTTACAGTTTGAAATAAAAAATGGCTTCAGAACCTGGCCCTTCAACAAGTAATGAACTTATTTACGTAACATATTAGAGGGTATTGACAATAATTATAAAAAATTATGTTAACCTAAACCAAAATCTCAGTAACTTCTGGCAAGTATAATTAGTAAATTGAAAGAAAAAAAATGTTGAATAGTATACAATTATTTTGAAAACATCTCATTCTTGAAAAATATATAAGAAGCTCACTTCGTTATTTATAAATAACTTGAGAATTTCTTGCAATAAAGACGCAGGTGAAATTTGAAGTAAATGCAACGTTTGGGAATAACCGTCTGAAAACTTTCTCAAATCCCCGCGGTCGGAATTATCAAATGAATTAGAGACGCAAGGGATTGCGGAAGTCGTACGTTCACATTTTTATGAAACGCGCAAGAAGTTAATTCTGGTCTTAAGGTGTCTCCGGCCCTGTAAATTAGCGGAATCCGCAGTACGGTGTCGCTTTTTACGTGCAATTTAGCGTTGGAGAACAATTCGAAAGTTTTAACACGGCCGCCGCCGCCGCACCTCCAGACCGCGAAAACCCACAATTAATAATTTCCTACCAGCGCGCATTAAAATGATAAATCTCGCGCGTCTTGCGTGAATTTTCTACCGCTAATGCGAGAGAGAAGAAAGTTGCGAAATGCATGAACTTTGCCGGGCAGGGTTGTTTTAAGGCGCAGCTTCCGCCCTCGAATGCTCCGGGGGCTTTTCTCATGACAGCAAACCGTGATATGTGCACTTTGCATGCCCGCAGGCTGATAAGCAACAGATTGTCTGGGTCGATTTCGGCTGAAATTGTGTTATGACAATATTAGCTTTTGCAGAGGGTAGCCCCGAAAAACCGCGAGCTTCTGTAATTAGCAATTAATTTTCAGATACAGCCTCAAGTGAGAGGAAATTAGATCATTAAAAATATTTTGAAATTTACATAAAACAAGATTTTTCCAAAATATAAAACTATGATGGAAATAATTTCAAGTAAAAATCAATTATTTCAGCCCACTATTTAGAAAATTATTACTTAGTAATATTATTTTGATTTTAATTTACCTGCAGTTTTTAAAAGCTATTGTCTATATTTCAATTGAAAAGAAAATTATTTGTTTGTAAAAATTAAATAAGTCATAAATACACCAATGTTTGTATGTAAATTAATTTTCTAAATTAAAGTTTGAATTGGCAGAATTCATTTTGAGTTCGAAAAAAATTGAATTATTTCCAGGGAATAAAGGATCTGATAAAATATTTAGATGAATGTCACCTTGTTGATTCTGCAAAATAAATTTCCCATCACAGCTTGTAATGCAACTTTGGTGCAATTTTAAAAGTTTTTCGCCGATCTGCCCATAAATAGCTGTATATGAGAAACAATTTTTCTCGTCATAACTCAAAACTTTCCTCTTTCAGTCAAGACAAAGGGGGCGGAAAAGTTGCGCAGCCGAAAAATGCGGTAAAAATGGTCCTGGCTATCATTCAAAGCAGGGGAGAGACGGCCAAAGTTAAAATAAGTTTTTCTGATGGTGACACATTTTTTCTTCGCTGGTGTCATTCGAATGGAGAAGGGGAATAAATTTCGGGGCGCTGCTGCTGCTGCAAACTTTGGGGCCCTTCCAGTGTATCCTGGCGTAAATGGCGATATTCCATTGTGCTCTGGGCGGGAGCAACTTTTAGGTCTCCTGTCAAAGTTTATTGTCGTCTTCCTCCGCACCGGCGAAATCGTCTTTCGCCCCCTGTTATTACGCTGCTCTCGGGCAGATGTACTATTTTGATATTTGCCACTCCGCCCTGTATCTCGTGATACATACACAACCCTTTAAGCCGAATAAATAACCAAATTCCGGAGTGTAACTCTCTCTCTCTCGGCACCGCTGGATTAATCCGGGCGAGAATTCCATTTATTGGATTAGTAGCAGAGCCAGCCAGCAACCTCCACACAAAGCAGAGGCAAAGGACAAACAAGCTCAAATAATCGTAAATTTAATTGGAAAAGGTACTCGACTTGGCGCGCACTGCGAGTGTGCTTCGAGTTTATACAGCGGAACGTTGAAAATTGGTGCCGCAAGAGGATAAAATGAATTTTTTTCCTTGCAAATTCGGTTGGGTGAAAATAAACAGACAAAATGAAAACTAACTTTTTCAATTTCCTTCAAGTAAATAACATTGGAAAATTTGAAATTAAAAGAGCAGCGTTTCCACCATGGGTTTTTGAGTCGTTTATTATTTCAAAGGAGAAAAACGACTACAAATAATACCATGGAATTGCTAAAACTTGAATTGAAAGCACCATCAACCCTAGATCGTGGAGTTTTTCTAAAAATTTTGTTAGGATCAGTCATTAAATTAAATTAGCATAAGATCTATTTAAGTGTGAAAATGTTGTAAAAACACATAAATTTTGTTGAATTGTTTTTTTTTTCACTTGACTGTAAGAGTTCTGTTTTTATTCTTGGGTTTCCAATTAATTTGATACTCTTTGTTGAAGTTTTCATAATCGGCAATTTTTACAAAGAGCTAGATGATTTGTTTCAATTCTCTCACATATTAAGTAATCCCAAAAAATTAATTAAATTTGTAATTCGTTGTCATGTATATAGCAAACGTGCGGTTTGTAATTTCAAAAAGATGCTTTTGTTCACACAAGCATAAAAGGTGATTATTAAAAAAATCTAAGGAATAAGCCAACAAAATTTCTGAGAAATTTTTTAGGTGTAATTATAACTTGCTGTGGAGCTCTCCCATTAGTGCCAATATTTAATAGCTATTATATATTTGCTATTGGAATAAATGTTCTTCTTTTCTTTTATTTAATTAATTCTTAATGCTTCCATATTTAAAATGGAAAGTACCAAAGTCTGCCCATAATTATAGAGAAATTTGAATTCATCATTCAAGATGATGACAGTGATCATAAAAAATATTATGTCCCTGGAGTGCTTTTCTTTGCAGATTTTGGAGTTGATTGCTGGGCATCAAAACTCATGGTCCGTTTCGAGAGAGCAAAAACGGGCCGAATTATTTCACGCCCAAATGAAGATAAATTCCTGTGTGTGCTCAAGTTTGCGGCAACACCGGTGAACGTATAATAGTGGAGCCTGGGGATTTAATTTGGAGCGGCAAAAGGAAGAAGTGTGCTCGAACGGTGCGGAAAGCTCGAGACGGTTCAAGAAAGGCAAAATGTTAATGAGGTGTATGCGCGCACTTGACGGAATGAGAGTTTTACTGCGAAAGTTGCGCGAGGGCTATTCACAATATGGTAATGCCCGCATCGGCAAAGCTGTCTTTTAAATTCGCCACCCTCGAGAAAAGCTGCAACATCGCGCGCGAGATTGTGTTGGAGTCTCGGGATTGCTCCGAAGGGTTATCTGTTCGCATGCAAATCGAGCAGCTCCGTCCGTCGTATAAACACGCGGCGCTCGAGTGGAATTTATATTTATTTGCTCCGCGCTGTGCTCTTGCACGAGAGTTCTTGAACGATATCTGATTATTGTTTGCATCCGCCAACATCTGTCCAATCTAAATAAAGTGGAAATCAGAGCCGCCGACCTGACACGGTACGCCGGAGAACAATACTGCATTTACGTGAATTGAATGAAATGAGGGGAAATATTGAAAAACACAGTCGGCGCATCAGAGAAAATGGCACAACGATAAAAGAGCAAAAAAGCATCAACGGCGCGTTTTTGAAATATATTTTAGGCAAAATATACGTTTTTTTTCTCAATATTTATTATTTATTTATTTATTGTCGTTCATTCTTTATGAATTAAATCAAGTTGTGAGAGTAAAAAACAAAGACGTCTCTCAATTTTAGGCAGCTAAGGAAAGAGTTCAAATTTTTTCGGATTTTACAATGGATTTTATTATGTTTTGAAATCTTCAATACTTCATAGGCACAAAATGAGAATAATTATACCCAAAAATTTTGTTAAACAAAGCAATGTAATAGGCTAATACTGATAGTATTAAATTTGATAACAATTTCACTTATAATTTAAAACTAAACTAACTTAAAATTTTTTAAAGCAACAATGGAGTTTTAATGCTAAATATTTTGTTTAGATTTATTTATTTTTATTGAATTTTATATATTTAAGTGTAAAAAATTACAATGTTTCCTTCGATATCTATGTACTCTATTTTTAAATAAATAAAAAATAGCTTTATTATTTATTAAAACATAATATTATTCTCACCCATGCATAAGATAATTAAATGTTATGTAGCTCTACAAGTAAAATCGGAGTTCTTTGACATCACGAGTTAATGTAATAAATTTAAGGAATAAACTATTATAAAAATTGAAAAATCTTTGTAGCAAGTAGGATTGGGAGATAAAAGCTATTAGTGTAACGAAATTACGGATTAATTTATACGATTTGAAAGTTTCGTAAGCAGAGTTCAGTAAATAAATTATCTGAAATTTAGCACACATTTTAAAATATGAAGATAAAAAGAAACTTTTTTATTCTCTCTATATGAGATTTGATGTAACAAACAACTTATTTAGCGCAAATTATAATTTTCTTTCCGTGTTGAAGAATATTTTTATTCTTCCGTTGATATAATTTTTTTTCTGAAAAACAACGCAGTATTCAAAACGCCTAATGATATGGTAAAAATAAGTTATTTTGGTCCCTAGATTTTCTTAGCCTTAAGCTCAAAATTCTGTAGCTGGCAGAGACTGAAACCCGTTATGCAAGATTATTCGCGTGAATCGCAAGCCCAGTGAACACACGCGGCGAATTGCGGCTCTGCAGAGACCTTGTTAGGCGCAAATCAATTATCGCGAATTTGGGCGTGCGATGTGATCAATTAAGGGTGTCGCGCGCGTTAATTAAAATGTCGCGGCTGAACGAGCCGCCTGTGTTATGTACTTCACATATAGTATGTAATGGTGTAGCATGCGCAGACGTGGGGTGGCACAATTAAATACAGACCTGTAGCTGGGTCGGGGGTTGGCGTAGGCCACGCACGGAATCACCACCGTGTCATCCACACGAGCAGTCACCGTCACTAATTTGTCGTACAGGATTGGGTGCACCAGACCTCGTATATCTGCAACATTTTAGTTTGAAACGAAAATTAATTTTATATTTGCTAAATATCTTCACACAAATACATATCTTTAAATTATGTTAACAATATTTAATAAAAATTTAAATGAAAACAGATTTGTGGATATAAATTATTAATAAATGTTTTTTTAAATTTATAAACCTTATATTTAAACATTTTAACTTGTTTTATGCATTAATATAATTTTTAATGGATATCATCAAATTGGTGGTTTTAGGTTTAATTTTTGATTAAAAATTAATCTAATAATTTTAATTTATATTAATTCATGTTTTGCCTCTTAATTTATTAACAATAAGACCAGATATAAATTTACTTCAACTAATCCATTGGATTTATTACAATTATCTCGGAATTAAATTCATAGGTTCTTATATTGCACTAATTAATAAATTAAATATATCAAATACATAATATTGCGAGCAACATTTAATAAATCAATAATGTGTCACAAAAATTGGAAACTTCATGTGAATATTAAAAAAGTTTGCACTCGCTTTCACACAAAAAAAAATGGAGTGAAGTTTCAAGGGTGCTGATTTACAGCAAAGCCGTTAAAATCTCCAGACAATTTACTCCGGAGGAAAGAGAAAAATAATCAAGCCGCAAATCTTTCGTCTGCAAGCTCAGAATATATTTCCGACGCCACTTCTTCCCTCTTTTTACGCTCGCATAGTTTTTAAGTAAAGCGCAAAACAAGCCTCGGAAATATTACTCTGCGCTCGGCGGCGGCTCAAGTGGCTAATCCCCGACGCATGTTATTATATCGTGGCACCAGCCCCTTAATAATATGCAAATATGGAGCACGGAGGGCCGCAGGGAGGCGTACGCATTGCCAAAGAGGAGCGGCTGGACTAGCGCATAACACATGCAGTATTTTTTCTTATATTTATAAGAGAGCCAAGCCAAGGGTACTCTCTTGTGTTTTTCATGACCGGAAGAAAAGCGGCAGGAAACGGGAGCGAGAGAACCAAAGCTGAGCTCACTTGATGCACTATTCATGCAGTCAATCTGCGGCCGTCCACGCAACTCTTCAAAATAGCTTTAGTATTTATAATTGCAAACACTTTAAAAAATATTTTTATGTAATTAATTATTTTTAAATGTAATTATATTTATTTTTCTACTCAGGTCTTTTAAGGTCTTTATTTAAATTTTTATTAATTTTAGTTTTATAAAAGTAGATTATTTATAATAAAATAATATTATCAAAAGTTACTTTTTAAATATCTTAATATTAGTATCCTATACATAGATTTTAATTAAATCTATAATCATCTTTCAATCAAACCCAAGTTGGAAAACTATGTAAATATTCTATTGTAATTTGGGATTTGCTCTTGATTTCATCTATATCACAATAAAATAAAGGAAATGTAATGAGTGTGTACTAAAAGTAGAATCAAATAAAATTGATAGATTTTAAGATGTATATATTGTACCTTCATTTAATTATAAGACAGCTAAAACTATGTCAAACTGAGTCGTAACCCGCAGAATTGACAAATTTTTAAAAATGAATTTCAGGAAGAAATTTCGGAACGTTTGTATGAGCCAGAATTAATTTTATTAAAGATGGTTCATGGAACAAAAGTATAACGTTGCTCTGGTTTAGTCACACAATTTTGCATTAAAAAATTATATGAAACTGTAATAATTTTTGCATATATCACAATTAGTTTAAATAAATGAGCTATAAATTTTGGATATTTAATTCAACAGGATTTATTATTTCAATTGGAAGTTGAATAAAAAATTGACCGGTAAAAGATTATTAGCAATATTTAAATTTGACAACGTCAAAACAAGTTGATAGAAAACAATGGCTAAAAATTAGCGTTTCGGGAAATATGAAATGACTATTGTTTTCATAAAAAAAGGCAAAGGAAGTGAAACAGGAATTGAATTGTTAAAATAATTAAATCACCAAGTCAGGAAAAATCTATACAATTTTTTTGAAAACCTCACTGATGGTGAATTATTTTAGTGTGCATAATTACCATAATTAGTAATAAATTTATTTTTTATTTTCTATTTATTGATCGTATTTTACTTTCATGGTGTTTTTTTAAATGAAATTTTTGCAGAGAAGAGCGAACTGCCAGTTGATTAATTTGCCCGTGTCCACTTTGAAAGCAAAAGTGGATATTATCCCGCTGAGTATTAGCTCGAGGGTTAGCAGAAGGGAAGGAAAGGGTTTTTGTAGTGGACGAGGTCCCGTCAGTTTCCACTACATATGTGCGCGTCCATCCGCCCTTCTTGCAGCGCAATTCCCGCGGCTGCCGAGTCCATTTTTGCTCTTGAATTAATTGAACGTGCGAACAACAAAAACAGAAAACACACACACACGTCCCGTTCGCTTTCACTCTCGGAGTGGAGGAGAGAAAGACACGTCCCCTCGGACAACAAACTAAATGCTAAATAATTCCGACGTGGTTTGTTCTTTGCCCGACGTTGCAAGGAATGAAAAAAAAAATCAATGCTGCAGAGAGAGAGAGAAAGAACGAAAGAAAGAATAAATAAGCTCGGAGACTACGCGGCACAAAAGCTGCTTTTCCCAGCGCGTTTAAAAATGCAGGCGAACAGATTTCCTAAAGGATTTTTCGTCCTACTTGCCGCGACACAGGGAATAAAATAAAAGAATGCTATCGGGGATTGCGCTGCAAAAAAAGGGAGTTTTGTTTGGAATTCAGAGGTTTATTTCGTGGGTCGAATTATCATACAAGACAAAAATTTGCTATTCGGAAGAAAAGTAAATGGCGTGGAAGGAGAGGAGGAAAATATGTATGCTGGAATTTTATTGCTAATTCGCTGCGTTCAGAGATAAGAAGGGGATCAAATGCTTGTACTATAAAATTCTGCGGTTGATTTACATCATTTTTTTGTTGCATATCAAAATAAATATAAAAATAAAAAGTCGTAGGGTTAAAAAAACTTATTTATTATTACATAGAATAAAAAAAGATTGGAAAGTGAAAAAATCAATGGATCTAAAGAATTTAATATAAATCCTAGGGTAATAGATAATACATAAGTTTAATTAAGATAAAATTTATTTTAACATTTCTTTTTAATTTAAGGGGCTAAGTATTAATTAAATTGGTAAAAATTATATATTCAGTCACTGTTCTTTAAAAATGTGTCTACCAGGATATGCGAAAATATTTTAATTAGTTCTTTTAATTCACAGGAATAAAAATTAATTACATATAAAAAGTAATTTGTTTCAAATTCAAAAGTATTTTTTGCTAAGCAAAAATCAAGAATCTTTTAAATTTATTAATTGTTGCATAATTATGCTAAATTTTACCTCGATGCATTTGGGATCAAAAAGGGTCTGGCAATAAATGATCATAAATCGCAGTAGCGTCTGTGGTCCAAGGAGTTGGGTTGGCCAACACGCATTAGTGGCCAAATGAGCATTAATTACCGCAAGCGAGTTCTCTGTCCGAATGAATCCCAACTAAAAGTCACCTTTGTGCGCCCCATTTAATTTAATCTGCCGTACGCGCACCCTTAATACGGCGGCGGCCGGTCCAACTTTAAATGAGCAAAATTAATGGTCGGTCTGCAATAATAAACTTCTTGCGGGGCTAAGGAATAACGCAATTACATTTTGGCGAGAGTGACACAGCAACTCCTGCAAACTTCTCCTCGGAATGAATAAATGGACAGACGGACGGATGGACGCGCCGTCCGCGTTTCGCACTAATGAAGCACTTTATGCCCGGATTAGCCCAACGGCCGGCCAGGATTACAGCGGCACATATTTTTTTTCCGCCCGGCGAAATAATGCCGCATTGTTTATTTCGCAGCCAAAAGCTTTTTATTCTTCTACGAGGCTTTGTTGCCAGTGTTTGGGTCTCTCTTGCTTGACATGCGAAAGTATGCGCGTTGATTCATGACTGCTTTTGACGTGGGAAAAATGAGAGATAGATGTTTAATGCGCGACCACATTAGAAAGGTTTTCCTCCCTTTCATGCATTGAGGTAAAATTCAGCATCATTAGGCTACAATTGATAAATTGATAAGATTCTTCATCTTCGCCACATAATGAAAACTCTCTTGGTAAATTTTATTTCTTTTAGCTGCCTTCACTGTGTTTGGGGTGTGCAGTTACATAAATTTGAGAGCGATAAAAAAATAAGGGTTACCAATCTTTATAAAAGACCAAATTAAAAATCCTACGTTTTGCATCTGTAAAAATTTCATAAAAATCGGTAATATTTTTATTTAAAAAATAATGGCATATTTAGTAATTTCTTTTAAATCACAATTAAATGTTCTAAAATTAATTTGTTCAATTTATTACAAACATATTTTTTTAGTATCTAACATTTGCTTCAAAAATTCCAAAAATTCAATCGGATCTTCGCCTATCGAAATAAAAATTCGTAAGACTGCATCTTACATATTATTATTTTTTTTTGTATTTTGGTTTATGGATCTTTTTGTTAATTTGAATTTTTAGCAATAGTTCGAAAAATATTTCAGAAACTTACTTGATTTTTCATGGACATTAACCGAAACAGGAATTTCAAATTAAATAAATGCTGTAAAAAAAATATACTTCTTTAAGATAAAGAGCCTCTCTACCATTCTAATTAATAGAAATAAATCAATTATGGAAATACTGAGAGTTGCAAAATGAGATGCTTAATTTTGCGAAAAATAGGAATTACCAGAAAATGCAAAAAAATGGAAACAAAAATACATATAAGATGACTGCATAGTTGATAATGTACTCATTTTTTAACAAATCTAATTTTAATGTTAGAAAAATATATTATACGAGATTCCAGAACATAAAAGCCTCTTTATCGGTTTGAAGCTCTGTGATCTGTTATTCCTTTATTATCTTGTACTGATTTCAAATTTTATTATTATTTGAATTGAGACAGAACACTTCAAAATAATCATAGACACCCGATTTTAAAAAAGCCTTTAAGTATCCTTTGCAAAGAGAAAAAGTTTGGAATTATGTAACTTAAAAATGGACTTTTCATTTTCAATTTGAATTCAGCCGCCACATTTTTTTTCGCACTGAACGTCGCAATCAGAAACTTCTGCAATGTGAAAGGGAGAATTTCTGCGAGAGCGTGTTTCAATTTCCTCTTTTCATTTTCGAGAGGCGGAAACCGGTGAAGAAGAGGCGAAATCCGAGTATTCCATTTAGCCATAGCAAGCTCGGGCTAGCAATTATTTCTGCGAGAGACTCGCTCGCCTTGGCACCAAAGCCACTCCCTGTGCTGGAAACACAACAAAGGGCTTAATTGATTTCCTATAATGACACGCCAAAGTGGTTCTCGAGCTTTTCGGGGAGGAAAAAGTGTCTCCAAGAAAAGAAGTTGCAGGCCAAGAGTGTTGGGTTTCCGAGGCGAAAGACGATCTGGCTGTTTGTCGTCCGTCGGCCCGATATGGTTTGTTACTTTGTCAGACAAATACAAACACACACACGTGCCTCCTGCCGAACCAATGGAAATAAGTAGTGCAACACAAACGCAGACGAGGCCGTTCAGAGTCTCCCCTAACGACCTTCATTACTCGGATTAGAAAGCCAACAAACTAAACAATAGCAAGGGTCCTCACAAATAATCCGTAATGGTATCAGGTAGAATGTCTAGGAATAGCGAGCAATATCAATTTTCAAGCTCGTTTGCCGCCCCTCGAATTAGTTCACCCCTCTATAAATTAACTTTGTATAGCTGTAGGGGTTGCTTGTAAATTGTTATAAGAATTGAAAACGGTCAAGCCAAGTATATTAATTCTGTAAAGGGGTGGAAAACCATGGATCCTAATGCAACTTTCATTTCCGATTGGATGTTTTTTTCTAAGTTATTTAAACTTATTATTAGAAAAATTGACCAAACTTTAAAGTTATATCTTTCATTTGGGAAACTGAAAGTTGATGATTTTGTCCAGACTCAGTTTTCGTAAAACCGTATGAAATTCGCATTAAACAATAAAAAATTATAATTTTTCTAGCTGAAAATTTCCACTCTTTTTAATAAATTTAGAAGTTCTTTTACAGTTCTTTGAGTGATTAGAAAATAATTTTAACAAACTGCTTGGATTGAAGAGGATATGCAGAAAAGATTTTTTTTACCACTAGTACTTATTTTCCGAGAGGCTTCTGCGTTCTCCGAGGGGAAAATATCAGAGGGAGGATTGAAGTGCTGCGTTTCGCGTTGAATGGTGTTGTAAAATTTTATTCCAGTGATATGTGAGCGACGAGGGCGAGTTCAGAGCACTGTTTTGCCGGGCAAACCACTTTTATAGTGCGGTTATTTGAGGAGAGCAACATGAGTGTTCTAAAGTTTGAAATTTTTTAAACCTGCGTCCTGAGGAAATCACTGAAGCAGAGGGAATAATGAACCCATATCACATGAATTTTTCGGAATTTATAGATTATAAAGAGTCAAAAGCTCTATCATTGAAGATAAAATTTACTTACTAATTACTATTTAAAACAAGGTGTAATTTCATGCGTTTCTTCTTCATGAGTGTATTTCATAATTATTACTATGTAATTCTTTCAATTGAATTGTTTGCATTTTACATATTACAAATAAATTAAAATTATTATTCCTAATGATCGTTTAATGATAATTACAATTAAAATTATATGGGAAAAAATCATTAGAAAAAAACCGTAAAATAATTAAAATATTTAATTTAAAAAATAAAAATTTGTTCCATAATTTATATTGCAAATTTTAATTACTTAACAAAAATACTTAAAAGCTTTAAATAGGTTTTTATTTTTGCATAAAAACTAAAAAACTAGCCAAATGCTATCCTGTAATTCACATTTTTTCTTTCAATATTCTGAATATTCATTAACATTAAGATTGAAATCAATCAAATCTCTAAGCGCTATGAGTGAATATTAAATTTAAAAAGTAATCCTTCTTGTGACTTTTCATCATTAATTTCATCTTTGAATTATAATCACAAGGACCATCAACCACCAATAAATAAATAACCAATTTTTGGAAAAATCCCAAGTCTGCTCTTATTTGCCGCAACTCCAGGCCATTTGTTACTTGAGCTTCCGCAAACGAGTTTTTGATGATGATTTGGCCCTGCACGGCCACTCGCACGGGTCATTTCCCGACCGTGCGCTGCTATATTATATAAATTAAGTTTTTTTCTGCCTGGCATAAATAAATAAGACGGCGATAATAACCCGGAAGTGGACATAAATCCGAAAATTACATTTTCCAGCTTTTCGCCCGGCCGACTGTTTTTTCCTCCAAGAGGGAGAAGGGTTTATTAAATTTCCAGGAAAATATTTCTCTCTTTGGCTCGGCGGCGGAGCGACGACGACGGTGGTTTATTATTCAGAAATGCGCGAGCAGGATTTTTTTCTTTTTAATAAAAAAGAAAAAAAAGGGAAGTTGTGCGGTGGCACAAAGGCGAAATAATTACGCAGAGTTCACGACGTGCAGCGCGAGTCTGGCCGGAGAGTACTTTGAGGGCTAGAATCATTGTAATTACCGCCAACTACCATTAAACACAACCCCCCGTAAACGCTCCCCGTGTGGCAAGAAAAGAACAAAACGAGCGTGAAAGACGAGAGAGAGAAACTCACTGGCTTGCTCGAGCCAAACAATGGGCTAAATTACACACAACTCGGTGAAAAATTAACCGGCCGAGGCAAAAAATTGCGCAATTCCGAGCGTTCCGTTTCGCCATTTGCAATTCGAATTCGCTCGGAAAGAATTTATCGCCCGCATTCTGTTGCTTTTTTTTTTAGCAAATTTATTACGTTTTGCTCTTGATGTAGTGCAGACATTCAAGAGGCTTTTGTTGAAAAAAAGCAATTTGAAAGCGCGAGTGCTATTTTGGGAGAGGCGAATAGAATTGGGCACACAACTTACCAGTCAGCTGAATTCTGCCCGCATTGATGCTGACCACGGACTCTTGGGTCAGCTGGTGGTGCGTCCGGCAGCGGTAACCTTTGGAAGAGTCGGCGCGGGACACGTCGTTGATGAGCAGCTCACCATTGGGAAGCATGTGGTATTTGCCGTCTGTGAACAATCAGATAGAAAAATTTAAATTTCAATACAAATTAAAAAAAAAAAAAATTATGCGATTTAGGTTCAATAATGTTTAATGCACTGAATTAGGTTTAAAAAGTCTATTATTTTTCTAGAAATATAGTCTTTTTTATAATCTTAAATTATTTTCGTTGGTTTTTTGGTCCGTTTAATCAGCAGTTTATTATGCGTGTATTTTGAAAAGAAATCAAATCAATGATTGCAAGTCAGAGTCTAATAAAAATAAATCAATTTTACTGTGACTTAATTTTAAAGGTTAAAATCAAATACATTGAATTTCATTTAATGGATTCCGTAAATTCTAGGCGGCTTTCAGCAATTAAATTTTAGTTATGGTTATGAAAGTCTTAACTGTTAATTTCAACACTTTTCAGTGGATGAATTGTGATTATTTGATGAGTTTGAAGATAAATATCTTACCAATTGATCTATACACTTAAATTTTAAATTAATTAAAATATAATTACTGTGCCATTTTAATAGAATTTGTTCAAATTTCAACAAAACACTGATTTTATACAAAGTTTTTTCGAGTTCAATAATTTATAAAAAAAAAAAAAAATTAACAGTAATTTCTCCAGTTACGAAAATCACAGAAATAAATTCAAAAAAGTTCTTTATATATCCCTTTTTACCCAAAACACATACTTTATTAAAAAAATTCCAATAAATCAACACATTATTCAACCCTTTCGGCCAAAGTGTTGAGCCGTTCTGGCGACGAATTGCGTGGAACGCGGGCAGCTCATTTTTCTGCATCGGGCAATCTCCCGGGGGAAATTCGGCCAATACATTGTTGCTTGATTGAAGCGACGATAGGCAGTCTTTGGCTCTCTCAAGTTGCTTATGTGTATTTGTCTCTCTCCATTACAGGCGGATTTCTTTGCTTTTTATCGCGGCCAGCGAAAGGGCCGAATCTTTTTTGCTTCTGCTCCGGCTTGGCGAGGCGCCAGAATTTGTGTTCGCTCATTGTGTTTCTATCGCAGCGGAGCAGGGAAATGGATGAGAGATTGGCCTGATATGGCGAGAGAGATGTGAAAGTACACGACGATTTATTTATTGCATTGGTGCTCGCTGACAACAACGGGCAAGGCCGTGTAATTAATGTGTTGAGCAAAATGTGTTCAACGTCCGTGGAAAATGCAATAATGAAAAATAGATAAATCGTTATGAACGAAAATTACAATATTTTAATGCATCATTAGCAAAGTTGAAAACAAATTAAAATGCGTGGATGTGAAATTTAAACTCTGTCCTTTACAATTTATTTTGGATTAAATTTGAATGTTCATTTGTATCGTGCAGATTATATTTTTTTTTTTTTTTAGAAAATTTGTCTGCTTAAATAAAGAAATAAAAATTAATAAATCTATGAATACTAATAAAATATTTTGAAATTATTGCTGGAAAACATGTTTTGACATTTAACTGAATAATATTAAAAACAAATTATCTGAATTTCCAGTGAAATTTTGTTTGTTCCTAATAAACTCAATTTTGCAGCACCGCATTACTTTTTATTGGGATATTCAGCCGCATCATCGGCGAGCGATAAAATTCGCGGAATGGCCCGTAAACGTTACACACAAGAGCGCTTTTCGCAGCCGGCCCACGTTTCGATGCGAAAGTGTGAGCGGCAAGAGTGCATCCATCGGCCGCAAATGTGCAAATTCTCATGGCCACAGCACGGCCGTCGATTACAATAGTCTGGCTGGCACTCTATTGACTGTTTGAGCACCTCATTAAATTGCGCTCTATGAAAGCAGACGCGGCTTGGATTGGCCATTTAATTCATATTTGCCTCTCCCGAGTCTGAATTGACTTTGCATTAAGTATTTATATCCTTTAAAGAGGGCTTGTTATTTGAAGAAATATTTAATAAACGCAAAACGTCCCCCTTTTGCAGTGAATGGCCTCGGCGTTCTGCGAGATTTTTCAGCCGTTATTGTTCGAAATTATGTTCGCAGCCAGGAAATCTTCACCGCGAGGCTATTATACTGTGTAGTGATGCATTCACTTTATGCGAGGCTTGCGGTGGATTAAATGGCAGAGAGCAGCGTTCTCCGATATTGGAGAGGCTGCTGCTGCTTTCAAAGTGGAGCTTGTTTACATCTGAATTAACGAGCAAAAAGCAGTGCATGTTTTTTTTTTTAAAGATGGTATAAAACTCTACATACAGCCAGGTTCATAATCTTGTATGAAGCTGCGCAAGAAAAAACTCAATCCAAAATTTGTGAAAAGATTGGAAGGAATTATTTTTTTATTTAATTAGGATGAGAGTTATTAATAATGTAACGCTGGTACAAATCAGGAATAAAAATTTCAAATTAACATTTTAATTTCAAACATCACAAAAAAAATCCTTCAATCCCTCAATAAGCTTAGATTAAAACCAAATAAGAAATTCATAGATTTTCAAAATTAGTTCCCAAACTTTCATTCCAATATTTCATACCGATCATTCATTAATGGGTCTCATTTTGTTTTGAATCAGACAACTTTTCTGGATCAAACTTTGGTTAAAATAGTGGGAGGGTGTTTTCATCATGGAAAATTGAAATGAAAACTGAAAATACAGCGACTGTTTTTAATTTTTATTGACAATTTTTGATGCTTCATAAAAATTAAAAGCCAATGTTAATAGTAAAATTAGAAAATGCCAATTTTGGTAAAATTAGAAAATGCCAATTTTAATATTAATAGTAGTAATAAACTGGAAAATCTCAACCATGTCAATAATATGAATTCTTTGTAAATTAAATAAATAGGTATTTTCTTATCATCGCAGAAGAAATTGTTTTCATTACTTGAACAATTGATTATGTCAATGAAATTCGCTCCAAAACTTTCTCATTTGCTACTAAATTGTTCCAAGAAGCGTTTCAATGAGATCTTAATCGCATGATTCGACTTACTCAAAGAAGCGTCTCCGCCCTTTTATATGAAAAGTGTCTTATACATTTATCCCACTGAACCAGATTATGAATTCCATTCGGAAATGTTTGAGCAAACTCTTGGTGGAAAAAGTTTAATCGAATCAGAGCCGGCGAGAGGGGAGCGATGGCCATTGTCAGTCCCAAGTGAAAGAAAGAAAGTTTCTCCGCAAAGATTTCCGCAAGTGTCTCTTTGGCGAAAAGTTTGCTCGGCGGTATATCAGCTTTAAAACGGGCCGATTGCTTATTTCCAGCCACAGGATTTGCGAACTCGGATAAGCAGCGGCAGCTCCAGGCAGCTAATTAGAGCAGTTTAATTTACAATGTTTTGCTGATGCTTTATTTATTGAGCACGCAGACGGAGCTGAATTCGAAATGTGGGTGTGCGATGCTGCCTCGGCTTTCCCTGTATGACGAAAGAACCGCGTTTCGCACACAAAAGAGGAATTCACTGAAAATCCAATTAGCTCACCCAGATATTTTATTATTCATTTTGATTCTTGGGTGAAGGATTGGAGTGTTTTAAAGTTAAATAATTTAACGTTGGAGTTCACAGCGGAATTAAAGGTAACAATAAAAAATAAAATCGTGAATTTGTAGAAATAAGGATTAGTAATTTTTTAATTGAAATTACATAAGAATTTAATTACCAATAAATATCAATTCATCAATAATTTAAAATATCGAAAAAAAAGCTGCTTAGTTTTGATAAAAAAAACTGTTGTCTCGTTTCAATCCTGGAGGTAATTTTTGCCTTCAAAATATTAAGTTTCTTTTTAATTTAATTTCTTTAATTTAAAAAGTTTATAAACAATTTCATAAAAAATGGAAAATAGGCTTGTTCGCCCGCGTGCACTATTTCATTTTTTTTTCAACTTATAAATAATATTATAACAAAGTGGTCTCCTGTCTTTAATGGTTGGATTTAAGATGAAGAAAGGTGCTTTCATGATAATAGCATTAATAGCTCTTTGATCGAATGTATTTATCACCCACCAAATTAAAAAGGAATACATTTTCACGTTATTGAATTGCAATGCTTTACATTCTTTAATTTCATAATAATACTATATAGCCATTTTAAGCCGCTAGAGATTTTAGTTATATAAATTTATTAGCTATGAACGTGTTTGCTACAATCCATGTCAATAAAATTTTTTTTTAATTCTACAAAAAAAATCTTTTGGTTATTGATACTCAATTAAATGAGTGTTAAAAAGATTCTCAAATTATTAAGAAATAAATAAATAAAGAATAATTTGTTAAAATAAGAATAAATAAAAAAAAAATGTAGAAAAATTAATATAATAATTATAAGGTAAAACATAAATTATATTTTTATATTATATTACTTTATACAAAAATATTTTGTGTAACTTGATACAAAATTTGATTGTAAAATTTAATTTAATTTCCATTCAATTCAAGAATTTTCAGATTCGTGTTTCGCTCATCAAGAAGGCGGTAGTTAGCGCGTGGACTTATGATTCGGCCAGCGGGCTGCCGGAGATGGAAAGCATCGCGTAGAAGGAAAGGATCAATATATCGGCGAACCGCTTCCACTTTTGCGTTTGGCAGATCGGTGGGGCCCGTGGATATTTTGCCGGGGTAAACAACACACGCCAGCTATTTATCCAAGATGCGCCGCCGCCGCCGCCGCTATTAGATCAAACGGAAATTGGTTCGTTCGGCCGCGCGTTCGTCGTTTTGCAGATGACGCGATTTCAGCCAAACGCACTTCTATATCTCTCGCATGACGATACGCCTTTTAAGCGCACGTAAAAAGCGAAATAAAAGAAAGGGAAAGCGGCAGAGGCATTTTGCATGCGAACGAGCTTCTGGGAAGAAAAATACGATTTTTCGTGTGCTTTGCAATAAATCAAAGGGGATTTTACGGTTGAGCAAGAAGGAAAAGAGATTTAGATGTTTTCACAAAATTTGATAAGAAATTTTCAAGAAATATAACAAAAAGGTTAAAAATTTAAATATATTTTGAATTTTATATCACAGAGCCTTAAAAATATAAGAATATTATATCATGAATTCAATAGAAACTACTTTAAAATAATAATTTGTAAGATATTTCTCGCTTTTTGACTTATTAGATACTTTTTCAAGTAACTTTTGGCATAAAATGTAAAACTGGAAAATAATTTTTCTGGAAACAATGAAAAACTCACAGACACCCTATTATATTGATTAATTAAAAGCTTTTTAAAATACAAAATCAATAATTCTCTTCAATAATTCAAAGTCAGTCTTCACTTTTTTCAATATAAACAGACTTTGAATAATTTTTTGTGCATCATTTTAGGCTCAAACTATCATAAGGCTTTTTCTTGATAAATTTAGGCGTTTTATTCAAATTATTAAAGTGATGTTTTATGTTAATTGTACACGATTAATTTGGAAGCCGGCGGCTGTTGAAAAGATACCCGTCACATTAAAAACTTCCTAAAAGCTTCGAAGCTTATCTGAGTACAAAGACAAGTTGTCCTTTTTGTCATGAGATGATTTATTTAAAAAGCAGCAAATTAACTGTTCAAAAAGGAAAGTATATTATTTAATGAGAAATGTTTCCAAAAAAAGTACTATAAACTAAAAAGTTAAGCGATAAAAGGAAAGAGCAGGAGGAAAGAAGATTTTCAACCCACTGACCAAATCTACGGTTTCTCTTTTTCACACTCCTCGTTGGGATTCTGGTGTGCGATTCGTGTTTCATTATTTACTACAAGTGTAATCTAGTGTGGAATAAGAATTGCCTGCTCTGACAATCAGTCTCTCTCTTCTCGTCTGAAAAACGGAAACGGCCTGTGGTCAATGTGAGGCCAAATGAACCCACCTTGCTCGCTACGGTTCTAGTTCTTTTATGGACTTTCTTTCCTTGCAGCGAGCGATGCCCCTCGAGAGAGCTCTCGAACGACCGACCGCTAGAATATCAAAACCCCGGCGCCTGCAAAATGTTCTTTTTTCACTTCAAAGGCCGCAAGATAAATCAAAACTACTCGCCGCTAAAGGAGAATTACTGCTGCGGAAAAGATGAAACGAACGTGAGTAATTTGCAAAGAGGCCGGCATAGAAAATGCTTTTTCAAAATGCAATAGTGAAGGAAAAAAATGCAGCTGAACATAAATATTGCTGCGTATTTCATTTCCGTATGGAAAGTCTATTCGATTGCAATTTTCCTGCTTTATGAATATTTCAGTGAACATACAACGAGATGATTCTTTCATATATGCAGAGCAATATCGACCATAAAAGTAGTTATGGAGATTGAGCTCTTTATTATGAGAAATACGGAATTCTATGTGTAAATACTGCCTTCAATGGTTGGAATACAATATTATATTTATGAAGAGGAGGATTTTGTCTTCCGCTATCAATATAGCAATGCTTGCTGAAGCTGACATTATTATTAAAAATACTAAAAAATTAAATTATATCACCTCAAATAAACCAAAAACTAACTTTCCAAATTTTAATTATTTTTAATTAATACTTTTAAAGCATAAAATGTTTTTATCTTTTTTTTTTTTTAAATTTTGTATTTTGTAATTACTTCTGGCATCTGAATTTAAATATTTTTACATTTTTTTTTCTTGCATTTAATAATATATTTTGTTGACACGAATAACTTTAATTAGATTTATTCTCAAATATTTGATTTGATTTAGCGCTGCGTTGCTGTTTTGTGTTTATCATGATATGAAATAATACGTTTTAAACAAATTGATTGAAATGATTAAAATTCATTAAGAGAGCAGTACCATGAGGGAAGTAGATCTTACAATTAACACAAAATGAATGTTGACTTATTTATTATGTAAGCATTTAGTTGTTTCAATTGGGTTTAAGATATTTTTTTCAAATTCTATGAAACTGAGGAAAAGCCGCTTGATTTCCAGATTCGTTATAAAAATATATTTAAAAAAAAAAATCAATTTCGACGGTCGTTCATGTCTGCAGATTGTAGCAAATTTGTGAATTTTTGAATTTGGATTTCATCTTTTAATAACTTTGAAGCGCCAGAAATTTTCTCAGCTGCACAGAAATTTCCCCGGGGCACTGGCGCGCTTTTCCAGAGCAACACAAACATTCCAGCGAGAAATTTCGTCACTAGCGAGCGCACGAGTGAAAGCCGAGCAGACTCGCCGAGTATGCAAGTCGGTTTAATGATGTGCGATGTTTAAATAAGAGTGAGAGAGACTGAGTGAGAACTACAGTCGTCGGATGGCGGAATAACACATGTAAAACAGTCTGTCTGTCTGAATTGCCAGGGAAACAAGCGAGGAGAGGCGCCGGATTCATTTAAATAAATTTATAATGTACACACAGGGTTGGACCGTTTTCAGAAGAACTCGCTCTCGCGTGCCTTTGAAACCTCAAATTTCGGCGAGGGAGAGAAATCCTCTTTTGGGCTCTGCCCGAAATTGAAGGTTGGAGGAGCAACATAAAAGATCTATTTAAATCTTGCAACCCTCTCATCTTCCCTTATGCCCCGCCGTCAGATATGATTCCCGGCCATTCTCTCTCTTATATTCAACTCTCGTCAATAACGCGCGCTCTTTGTCTTTGCCACCGAAAATCCATTCAAAGCAGCGCGCTTACCCATGCAGAATAGATTATTATCCATGAAATTTGGCTGCGCGAAGAGCTCTTTTTCGCGCGCCTGCCTCCTTTGTGCGCCCACTTTGAAATGCCGTTGCCTCCCAATCGGGGCTCACCGCGCCGAAAGATGGAATTGATCAGAATATTCGATTCCATTATTTTTACATAAAAAATATATATATTCACTCAAGAGGTTTAATGGAATTCGTTGAGAGGAAAAACGTCTAAAAGTTGAGCTTTTGATGTTGTGCGAAAATTGTTGTAATTCATCAATACCCAATGACTGAATAAAAATTATTTAATTGGAATTATTTTAGTTAAAGTATACAGAAGTCTAAATACAGTCACTGCATCCAAAAATTGAGGAATCAAACATCTAACCAATTGTGAAATAAAAATTTTCCTCTCCTCACTCACTTTATATTTTCTGATCCAGAGTTCAATTAAATTGGTTTATTTAATTGTTACATTGCCTAGAGGTATCACAATAAAAAACTTTTTATAAATTCAAATTTAGTATGAATGGCGTAATTCGTGAATTTTCAAATCGAGTTCAATTGTTACCAAAGTGATTTGAAAATAAAATCACTAAATATGATATGATTATTAAGAAAATGAAATTTACATTTTTGATGTTAAATAAAAAATAAAAAAAAAACAGATTAAACCACTACTTGGAATTTCTTGGGTAAGTTTTAAATTTTACATTTCACCGGTTTCTTTCTTGGAGCGATTCTTTTGTAAGGTTCAGGCATCATCTTTCACTGTTCAATTATTCACAAAGCGTCTCTCATCGCAGCCGAGAGCTCGCTGCTTATTTTTATGCAGCAGCCAATTTTCCTCGGTCGTAATAGGATCCACCTTTTGTACATTCTGGGCGCCCGCCACAATAGAAAAACAAAAATCTGCCCCCGCCTAATTTAAACTTGCCACCCTGCTGCGTGAAAGGAAAGAAAGAAAAAGAAAGGGTAATCCTTCACTGCTGGAGAGAGGGTGGAAAAAGTTCCCGCGTGGAGAATAATAATAAAAGGAGCTGAGCTTGTGATTGAATAGCGAAAAATTGAGAGGAAGTGTGTGATCGGCTAGCGGGGCGGAACACACACCCGGAGCTGCATTTCTGCTGATAAACCCCTTGAATACTAATCGCACTCTCGGCAGGCACCCCTTTCAGAAAGCAGAGAGAGACCCGGTCAAAGGTGACGTGGTTTACTCGCTCCTAAAATCATGCGGGTGATGTATTTTTTTTTCGTCGGTTATGAAATATTTTTTTTTTTTTCAAAAGAAGTCTGCAAGCAATTAAAAATAAATCGATCACGCGATTTGCGTCTCCGGTCGGGGATTAAAAGGGGTCTTTGTACTCACCGCTGACGGTTGAGGGGTAGATGTTGAAATTTGGCTCCTGCAACCACGAGGTGACGGTGACGTAGTCTTTGACGAAAGCTGGCACGGTGCACCGCATGATCACCGTGTTGCCCACAATGCCACCTGGATTCTGCACCTCCGGCTCGTAATGCTGGTTAACCACTGGAACAAAACACACTTGGCGTTAAAACCCTTCGACTGCAGAGGCGAGCACATTTGATCGATCGTCAGTTCTGATTAAATGGCCAACTTTCCAATTAATTTCCTTGATTAAGATTGGTACACATTATTAGACAAATAAGAATAGGAACAATTTACAAGAATTGATTTTTTAAACATCTTCTTTTAAGACCGCTAACAATCAGACATGTACTTATATAATTTTTCAGTAAAAATAATTAAAAAATTGAATTTAAAATTTCTAATTGCAATATTTCATATTACCATAACAATGAAAAAAATTATATTGAATATTTACTATAATTATTTTAATTTTGTAAATAAATATTACTTAAAATCAATTAAAATTATCAAATAAAAGTTTTTTATGTTAAATTTTTGTTTCTTTCTTTATTTACAAGCTTATGATTCAAGATTAACTGAAAACAACACGGAGTGTGGATAATAGTTTTGATTTCAAATATGAATGATTGAACACGATTCAATGAAAAAAAATGCAATGGATTTCAAGTCATTCATTTGTATTATTTAGAACAATAATTCTCTACCTTGCGAGGCAACATTTAAAAAAATGGCATCGAATATAAGCAAATTTTTAAATTCAATCATTTTAAATCAACCCATAATCATATGATTCATAAAAAAGTATTCATATTATTATTAATTTAAACAAATATAATCTATAATGAATTTAATTGAATGCAAACTATGTTTAAGGTGTTTGTTTTTCTAAATCAAATAATATTGATAAAAATATTTATGGTTACTGTAGAATTTCAAATACGCTCTGGTCTATAAAAGGAAAGTCGAGGTGTTTTCGTGTTTGCATTCGCGCCCTTTTAACATGTCTCTCTCCTCTCCTGCCCATATTATACGCAGGCGGAGCGCCGCGCGATTTGCAATTCCATCTAAAAGCAAATTCCAATAAGCGAGCAGGCATCAAGTCGTGAAGTTGACAACAATTCCATAAATAATGCAATGCTTTTACACACACTTTTCTCCGGCGAGGATTCGAATTTGCGAGAAAGAAAACAAACACACACCTCTTGTTGCGAGAGAAAGGAAAAGTCACCTTGGTTGCTGGGGTATAAAAATGCAAAGCCCGGCGTCTTCTATCTTTCAGAAGGGAATTTGCACATTTATCATAGTTTACGTCGCTCTCTCGCTGGCTCTTTTGTATGCTCACGTGCAAAATATCCAAGCGCGGGGACATAAATATTTGAGGCCTGGGCCTAAATTCTTGAGCAAGAGGTCACGTAAGAGCGGCTGCTGATATTTTGCAGCGCACTTTACGACTCGCTCGTCCGCCTTGAGCTCAACCGCCACTACACGTGATAAACTTTTAAAATGCTGTCGACGTTTTTCGCTTCTTTAACTTTGGCCGCTTACGGACGGGGGCGGGTGGCTAAATTCTTCATGGTATAAACAGTCCACGGAAAGAAAGCGTGTTTTGAACTCAATTAAAATAAAAAATAATACGCGTTTGTAAAAATCAACAGCAATTTTTTGAAAATTAGTTTTCAATTGGTTGCTTAAAGGACAATACAAGATTTTTTTTTATAAATTTTTGAAGTCTGAAAACCATAAACTCAATTTAAAGACCAGAGTTGAGATGATATCGTTGATGGTATAACAAATAAAATAAATATATTCATCTCAATTTATGGGGAGAAAAATAATTTTAATTAATTAGTGAAATTAAATAATAAGGATTAGCAAAATTGCAACATTACCCAGCAGCGTAAGAAGCAAATTATCTTAATTTTCTCACGAGATCATCTCATCTAGTTAATAATGAGAAGCGAGAGGGAAATTTCCGCGACTAATTCCACATTTCTGTAGGCAGTCGTCGTCTCTGGAGCAGAAAAGATTCCAGCTCTCACGTATTAGGTACGTACGAGCGAGGACGAGCGAGTGTTGCACCGAGATAAGGGACGCATCGGGCGAAATAATCGCCAAGTGTGTGTGTGTGTGTGTGTGAGAGGGATGATGAAAGAAAGAGTAGCAAGTGCGCAAAGAAGAAGTCTCTTAATTACTCGCGAAAGAGCGAACGAGCGCGTCGAGGCGGCAAACTTAATTTGAATTTGTGGTGTTTTCGTTAGGAAACGCTTGTTTGCATGCAACTTTCTTTGCCGACGCAAAAAACCTCTCTCGCGCGCGTCAGCAACAACTTTTGATCTCCAGCGCAGGCACGCAGCGATAATAATGCGCTGCGCGAGTTTCTCGCTCGACACAATAATACACATGAACACAACTCCTCGCCACAACGCAGCGAGTGAGTTGTTTGCTCCGCTTTTTGCATCTCAACGCGTTCTATACTATGGAAAGGAAAGTGCTTCTGGCTTCTGTAGTCCAAACTTTATGCATTGGGTGAAGAAAAAATGGTAGCCAGATAGAGTTGCTTGGTTTTTCAAAAGGTATTCAAGCTTTCTGAAAACAAGAAATTCAAAATTTTACTAAAGTTTTAAATAGACTGTGTTTATTTTTTTATCTTTAATATCGAAAAACTTAATAATAATTATGATCAATTCATTCATGGAATTCAAACTTAATTGAGAATTGGTATGTTAAACAATGTAGGTATTGAATTATGAAAATAAAAAATAGTCTTGATGGTGGAAAATACTTGTAATGGTATTTCCTAGACTGTTAAGACTATTTAAAAGTAAATCATGTTAAAAGAAAATTCACAAGGAAGAAAACATTGGAAAACATTTTGCTTTTCCATGATATTTTCATGAAAATGTCATACAATTTAAATTATTCAAATAAGGAAATTGCGATTATCAAAATAATATAAATGATAGTATTTATATATATTTTTTAAGTAAACTTCAAAATCATCCATCAGTTTTTAATGTATCCAAAATTATTAATTAGAGCTTCACTATGCATTGTATACTTTTTGTATTCAATAATTTTTCCATCTCACGTCTTTCATTGCATCAATAATTAAAAGTATTCAATCTTTGGCAATAATTTACAAAATATCCGTATTATTTTAATTGTGTTTAAATTTCATACTGTTATGAATTTTAATATGATTCAGCTTGTCCTAATTTGAGCTGTTATAAAATATATCATATTATATTGTCTTCTTTTTCCTTGAAAGTAATTGTAAGAAAGAGTAAACCTGTACATTAAACAAGTTGTGTCCTGATAAGAAAACAGGCTGAAGAGGAGAGCAGTTTTGATCTAAGCGAACACAGACTCTCTCGTCACCGCAACTTCTTATTACCGTCGACGAGCAGCTGCTGGAAAAGCATAATTTCACCATGACAACGAGGCGCAGATCTTAACAAGCCCGCGAACGCCGCACTCGACGTCTCGCGACGAAGAAGAACGGGCTCTCATTAAGCGCGGCAGACAACCCGCAGAGTGTGTTTGATACACTGGTTGCATAACAAATTAAACAGAGTCGCGCGCTAATTACACCCAAGGTAGATAACATAGAGGCAGCTAGTCGGGTGGGTAGAGAAGATGGAGCGAATGTAAACGAGATCAAATGCACACAGAATCTAGGAATCTGGCAAATTGGCTAGATCGAGATTCGGCACTCGTCGCAGGCAAAACTTCTTGTTCCTTCAAGAAGAGAATTATTGCAAATTAACTTTAGAACTTTGCAAACTAAAAGTGCACATAATTTTAGATAATACTATGCGACATATTCAAGCAAGTTGATTTTTTACCTAAAAAATTTTTACATTTCAAAAAGAAAGTATGTACCTGAATGCACTATACCATTTGTGATCTTAGCAATATTATTTTTCTTGTATTTTCTTTTTCTTTGTTTAATAAAAATTTCCTTGAATTCCAAGAATTTGAAACCTATTAAAAAGCAGAAAATTTTCCTAAAATAATTGAAACATCTTTAGATTTTCTGTAATAATAATTGAATGCAAAGTTGTTTTGAATTTTATTTCTGACTTTTATGTTAGAGTTTCAAAATGTTTAATCTTATTAAAGTAGAAAAATTAATAAAACATATTATTTTTTTTCCATTATGAATGCGTATACCCTCTATGGGAAATATGGCATATCAATCATAGCTGTTGCCATTTGTGTCACTTGAAATGAAATATAACTGACAAAAACTTCAAATTTCTTATAATTTGCTTTTGGGCGCTACTCTTTTTATTTCAAAGCTAATCAATATCAAAAGGGTTGTACGATTTTGTTAAATAAAAAAAATTTAAAAAATAAATAAAAATAAAGAAAAAATTAAAAATATGACAAAACCAATATATACTTTGATGGAATTTGAGTAAACAGTTGACATATTGGAAAGCCACCCAAGAGCACGTTCCCGCAATTGGAAACGTGATCCGCCGCTCGCGGGTCAAAAGAGTAATTACGCGACTAGTGTTTGTTCGTCGTATGAATCCGAGTTAATTAAACCGTGTGTAGCTGGTGTGGAATCCGAACAAAATCTCGTCTGTCACAAGCGCTGGCGGTTCGATCAAATTTCTTTGACGGAGCCATGCTTTCAGTGAAATAAATATATATAAATAAAATAACTGCGGTGAAAAAGTTCGGGAGTTGTAAAAAAAACCGAACAAGGCTTGCGTGCAAAACTTTTAGAGCTTTTCGAAGAGAGAGGTAGTGAGGGCACAGAGAAAAAGAAGAAGCACAAGAAAAGCGATTTTTATATGTATTGCTGTGGAAAAAAAAACTTTGAAACTGTGGCGGAAAAGTGAAGGAAAATGGAATTCATTCTGTGAAATCTACGTATTCTAATAAAAAAAAAAATGACAAATACAATTGAAATATTTGAACACATTTCTTTTATAAAATTAATTTTTAGGGTGCTAATGAAAAATTGAACTTTTAATAGAAAAAAAATAAAGTAAAAAAATAAAAGTAACTAATCGGCTTATTTATTCAATTTTGTCATTATTTTTTTTGGCATAGAACAGTGGAATAAATAATAACAACTTAAGCTTTAAATTTAATTCAGTAGTCATTGTGTTAAGTAATATCTT